GATCTCTCTGTCTGTTTCCTTATTATTTTGCTTTGTTTTGTTTTTTCATCTGGCAGCAATGTTGCTGGGTTCATCTATATCACAGACATTGACATTCAGAGGTTTGAACTAATATCTTCTTAGCATGATTATGAAGACGATGCTTGGATATGAGCAAAGATTCTGACCAATTTATAACTTTCAGGAGGAAAATTACATATCTCGCACCATGTCATGGAGAACTTCCAGGTAAATATTTGATCGTGGGGAGCCTGACGTGGGTTGAAACCTAGGCGTAGAAGGCATAAAGTAATAGCAGAGTCAAAGTGAGTGCAGTAAACCAATAGCAAACTCAATTTTTTTTCCCTGCAAGCTACCATGACTGAGTGACTTAACTCCTGATCAAGGTTTAGACTTTTTTTATTTTTTTTGGGAAACACAATCAGGGCTGTAATCATATCTGTGCTACTTGTATAGTCTGAGTTGGGTAGGAATTGCCGGTTTTTTTTTTAATGCAAATTGGGTTACTTAGATGTTAACAGTTTTTCCCCAATGCAAATTAGTATGCAGTTCATTTAGTCATATGCGCTAATGTATTATTTTCTGAACTCTTAAATATATTTATTTTTCTTCTATACTTTGACCAGCATTATGTTTGAAACAAATAGATAGTCGTGGAATGAGATGCTGCAGACTCAAAAAGAGTTATGACCAGCAACTTGACTAGAGGATGAATAATCTGATGGCAATAATTTTTGCTGAATGATCATATAGAAAGAACTGTAAAACTATCAGTCTCCAAGAATGTACAGGAGATTATTTAGAATAATTTTTGGAAAAAAAAAAGTACCTTAACACTACGTTTTTTGGTATGACATACGTGAGATTAAAATGTGATTGAAAAACGTGTCAAATTTTGTAAGCGTTTCTGAAATATTGATTGCAACAGCCAACGTACAACCTAAAATTATCTGCCTTCGGTCCTTGACTCCAAAGAATCTCTGGTGCATTAATTTCTGGAATGCCAGAACAGTCAACAGTATGGTCAGGTACTTGGGCATGATGATCCGTTCATTCTAGGAGTGCATTAAATTCACTGTGATAACTCCAACAGCGGCTGAATCACAAAGGGAGAGAACCAACCAACTAGTCTAGCAGTGCAATTCTTAAACAGGGTGCTCTTTGGAACTTGAAGCTCTTTTACACCTGCTCTGTTTCCCCTTACCAGATAGAAGAAGAAAGAATCATGCTATTGCTTACTCTGTCATGGAATAAACAAGGTCTGAAAGTTCATTTTATGGGACTTAGATTTCAAAAATTTTACTGTCAGCACTGAAATTAACAAATCAGTTTGTAGAAGGCAGCAATAATCTTGGATGCCTCAAGACAGGTGATCTTTGCCAGAATAGATTTCAGAACTAAACGAGTCTCCAAACCAATAGTCTGTTTTTACGCCACCTGATATCGAAAAACTGTTAATCACTATGCAGACACCTGAGAATTTTGTGACTTGTAATGTAATAGTCCTAAACAGTAGTAATATGTAAATCATGCCCCCCCCCCTCTCTTAAATAAAACAAAATCCCTCATAAATTCCTATACTAAAATTGGGCAGGCTAATAACTTGGCCTCCATGCTTGGGAGAGAGTGAGAATCTGCTGGTCTATCCATGCTACAGTTCTCTGTTCTGTCTCTGACTGACTCTCTTATATCTGTTCTGTTCATACTCGAAGCACGTTTCGACCGACCATATGTTTCTGTCTGTCCCATGCTGCTACAATAAAGTTGTGTTTCTGGTAAGTTATAATACAAATTACATAAATTAATACCTACAATTAATTCTTAAAATTTTGCTTGGCTTGGGCCCTGCCTGAAGAAGGAACGGCGGCGGAAAAATTTCATGTCGATCCATGTGGAACATTTTCATTGATTCGGGAACGAATACCAGGCACGCTTAGTAGTTGCTCGGACCGACGTAAATTTTTCCAGAGGGGCAGATTTATGAATGTGTAAAAGATACTACTGTTGGCCTTGGATACTTTGCTTCGATTACTGCACAAGGCCGCGGTATAAGATATTTGTTGGTTCGGGAAGCAGGATTACCTGTATAGCCAGTTCACAGCTAAATTGAGCTAGCTTCTTACAACGTGTTTCTTTTTTTTTTCTTTTTTTCTGTCAATCATCACTTTTTATATATAGTATCCTACATTATTCTAATTTAAAGAGGAGATCCAACTGAATCTAAAAGAGTCGGTGGGGACTGAATCACCATCAGACTGTGCATCCGTCTGGATTTTTTAAGAAGCCACTTAATGGCTTAGTGGTGATCACCAGTCCAAAGGCCGATGATTCTCTTACAACGTGTTTCTCAGTTCATATTTTGATGCATTTCTTGTTGAAAAAAAATGAAATAAATTGGAATATATTTTGTTCTTGACAATTGATGCACCAACAGACAACTTCCCAAGTAAAGATTCATAAGAATTTTTTTTTTAGGAAAAAGTTTAGGTGGGTTCAACTCCAATCACTACTACAGGTCAGGACATGCTTTCAAAATCATATGTCGCTTATAGATATTCTTACAAAGTGCCCATTAGCATAACTTTCATCGACAACGTAATTCAAACGTACGAGACATAAAAATACAGAGGCATAGAAAATTAGAAATAGAATGAGTTCTTGAAGATACTTTTCCCACCGTGAGGCACAAAAATACAGAGGACTTAATGGAGGTTGCTTGAGTGGCTGGATGGATGATCTTCTATTGGTCATCTTAGCTAGACTTAAAACAACATAAATCAGATCTTTGGTTTATGTATGGTTTACCATCAATTTCAATGACCTTTGAATGGACTGCCACCCACATTAATTAAGTTCATTATCTAAGAAAACTACCAAAACGTTCATATAAAATAAATCATTTCTGTTGCTTGCACAAGTAAATTAAGTAAGATGCTGAAAGATTTATTCATAAATGAAGACAGCATTGACATTCTGTAGTATGAGAGCCTACCATGATTCTTGACTGGAGATTTGTATGCATTAATGCCCAAACCTGGCACGTTGGTTCTTCCAAACTATACTACAAAAAAGAAGACATGTTGTTAAAACCTCCCAATCAATAGAATGATGTGGTCCTAGGCTCTAGTGTTTCATGTATACCCAAAAAAAAAAAAAAAAAGGTCCACAATAGGTAATGTTGACCATCACCCTTGCAAGGCCTCTTTCACTTGATCACTGCAACAGTGGATATACTTACTCTATAGAGATGCCTCACCAAAAGAATTGCCAAATGACACCTAGCTAAGGAAATTGAAATATTTTGGGTGCAAGTCACTTGCATAATTATGTTGTATATTGGCATATAGAAACATTTCTAAATCTTTAGCTTTAGAAATGTTTCTATATGCCAATATACAACATAATTATGCAAGTGACTTGCACCCAAAATATTAGGTTGATGATAAACAGTAAACACATAGTGCATCCATTTGGATTGCTATTTTCTGCAGTTTTTGTAGAACAATGTACTATAACAATTTGATGTATGAGAGGTAAAAAAGTGATTGAGAACTGTGTTTATGAAAAACGTAAAAATTATTTGAGAAAAAATGGCAATTCAAATTACTTTCAGATCGTTCCACATTGGCACTCTAATAAGCTTAGACAGGTAAAGCATACACTTCCAACTAAGTTCTCTGTCACTCAAGGATTTCCTCTTCTCACTTGTTCCTCTTTCCCTCCTTAATTCCACCTAAAATTAAGCTTATGCTTAATGAGTGTTTTAAGGTTGTTGGCACTTTGAAGTTGAATCAAGAGAGTGACTTGATAATTGACATAAGAGAAACAATAAATGTGCTAGCAACAAGTGCCCACATTAAAAAAATCTTATAAAAGAAATAAATTTCTTATTATTTTAGCAGTTTCCTTCAAAGTTCAAAGTAACTAATTTCTTGAATAAAATGCACTTAGACAATGCAGAATCAGATTACTTGAGGATCCTTTCAATGCATGGCTACTTTCTTCTTTCAAACTAAAATGGATGGCTAGTTAACAATTTGGTTCTATGTACAAATGCCATAATGCTAAATTAACTTCTCTTTCATCCTCAATCTTATGTGCATGTTTCAGTTGCATGAATCTAAAATGGATGAGAATGGATTAGCTTTTTCATTTTATTTCTCCCATGCACAACTTCGCATAATGCGCTCATAGCATGTATTTGTTATCCCTTTTTTGGTAAGTATGTATTTATTATCTTGTTCATGCTGAAAAATGATTAATGTTTACCAAAATAACAGTAGTGTTATAAGTTTTCTATATTAGTATATGTTGATGTAAGACAATTACACTTAGTTAATTTGCAATTCTTTTGTACATGTGGGATGCATTTAGATTGACTAATATAAAAAAAACAAAAATTTAATTTTTTTTAAAGAAATATGCTTCTGATGGGAGTAGTTTAATTAATAGTAGTGTTTAATGCTATGATTTATGTAATCCTGGCTTTTTTATTTTTTCAATCCAGACAGGCAAAATTTAATGGAAAATAATCTTTCACAAAAAGCCATGCTCTAAATCTTACTCATTTATTAAACTAGCTTAATCATGTTCTCTAACCAATATTTTTAATAAAACTTTGTTTAATTGACTGCTCTAACCAATAACCTTGAGAAGGAAAATAACAAATTAATACTTATGAAAGAGACAGAGAGCAGATTAAAGAAAATGTAACAAAATGGTGAGAGTGGGAACTGGGAACCCCAAATCCAACCAAACATGGCATAAAATTTCCAGCTGTCAAACAGATGCCAGGCACCTGGTATTTCACCAGATCCAAACCTCATTGCACAAACATTAATAAATATTTCTACTTGAAAATAATAATTAATTAAAAAAAAAACACTATGCTAGACTAAGTACTATGCTACTAAGTCCATTTATTAACTGATTAAATTTTTACTACTTCTGTTACTTGTGATACTATAATGATACTAGTACTTTGGTCTGATGAACTGATGAGGTGAGAATCCAAGTGGGTTTCTCAGGTTTCCTCCTCACCTTCTCTGTTTCTTCCAATAAATTAATTTGAGTTGAGAGCCTTCTTTGTGGGTTTTGTGCACTGTTAACAAATAAAAAGGGGTCTTTTTTCATTTTTCGAAGCAAAGGAAGGGGAGAAAAACTGGGCAGGGAAGATAAATGGAGGAGGAAGAACATCAGACTGTTGCTAGCAGTAGTAGCAATAATAATTGTGAAGATGAAGTTCTGGGTTCCAGCTTGACCATGGAGAAAGTTGCTGCTGCCAAGAAATTTATCGAGAATCACTACAAAACCCAGATGAAGAGCATTCAACAGCGCAAAGAAAGGTGCTTTCTTCATTTTTGTCTGTTTGTGCTGTATTTTTGCGATTAGTTGATGTTGTACTTCATGCATATTGCTTATGAAGTCAGTGTGTGTTTTCGGAAAAGAGTGAAAAAGGTGTTGATTAAATTATCTTGGTTTGGTATGTTACAAGATCTAGTGTTACTGCTGATTCTTTTGTTTAATTTGTTCATGCTATGGTTTAGAAGTTTAATTTGTACTTGAATGCTTCTGTAGTTAAAGCTACAGTTGGCTCAGATTCTGATTGTCTGAAAGGGAAAAAGGAAAGAAATGTTTGGTTGACTTGCAAGATTAGAATTTCTTTGTTTCCTGTATTTTCCTTCGTGGCCCTTGATTAAGTGTACACTCTCTGCACCCTGGGATAGGGTTGTCTTTAAATTCCTGGCAAGACTTGCTGTGGCCGGAGCTTTAGGAGGTGGGATTTGGTTTTGATTGTCTAGGTAACCGGAGCGAGGTCCAGCGTAAGTGCTCGAGGTTGAAAAACTAATGTAGTTGCCGCAGCTTTCTTTATTCTAGCACGAATATCAAATTTTTATCTATTTGAGCTGATCAAATCTGTATAGCGTCAGTTAAAAGCCTCATGCATGAGGATCTGAGAAGGGCTACTCTTTATTCAGCTTTAAAGTTCTACTAGAAGATGTTTGATTTATTTGTTAATGTATAACTCTAATTTTCACAATTAAGTTATCATTTATTAACATTGAGTGCAAGGTGTAAAGCTTAACCGCATAATCGAGTGCCTCTATTGGTTAGTATAAAACCAGGTAGACAAATAGGTATGTCACCAGTGCTTGTGTTTTGGAGCTTCTGATTTGCTAAACAGGCCGGCATCTTGCATTGTAAGTATAATTTATTTGGGACTTTAGTTTGAATCTAGATGAAATTCTGTTTGAAGTTGTTGCATCTGATGGTGAATATTATTCTTTTAGCGTCCTGCTGTATCCTGGTTGTGGCATTCTGTGCTACAATGTTTGGTCTTGATGACGATTTTCAGAAGCTGATATTTGCAATGCCTAAGTGCCGGAAATCCAGGACGTTCATGTTGAACTATGAGAAACTTCTATATGATAGCCCCCAAATACCGCATCTTACTTTCATTTGTACTCTTAACCTGCCGTTCATGATACACTTTCCTGCCGTTTTGATCTTAATAAAGTGTTGTTGTTGTTGTTTCTCGAAAATAGAAATCGATATTGGTGTTTATAACTAGGGTCAAAGCAAAGTGAGGACCTGTGAGAGACACTTACAAGTATAGTACATTTGCATTCCTGAGAAAGTGCCAAGATTCATAAGAAGCTAGTCCAGCCTAGACCTAGCATTTACCAAATCCAAACCTTGGTGCAAATGAAGTGTTATTTCAATGCCCAGTTTATTTGATAAGCTAAGAGAGCCGGTTTCTGTTTAACCTCATTTTCATCATAAGTATACCAAGTTAACTCACCGTGTCTGTACTTAAATAAATAGATTGGGGGAGGGGGGACCATAAGAGGCTGAAATTCTGACAATTGTAAATGTCGGGACTAAGCTTGACAATGGAGAAAATGGTCCCTTCCAGGCAACTAATTGTGAAGTATTGCAAGGATTATGTGACAAGCACTCAAGACTGCAACAGAGGTATCTGTATACATGTGACCATGCACACACATGTGAACATTCATGAACACTGTACATGAATGATGCATGTAACTTTGGCTGAATGAAGAAGAATGAATTGAATCAATTAGCTTGACTCACATGGAAATTTTGTTATTCTACCGGAATCTACCACTGGTTTTAACATTTTGGATCAAGTCTCTGAGGAGTTTGTCTTTCTTTAATCTCGTGCAGGTAATAGCAGCACTTGGTCTAGTTATCCAAAAAGAAAATAAGCAAAGATTTAGGAGAGAGAGAGAGAGAGAGAGCTTTGTTCTTCTTGAAATTTAAGCTCTTGCTTAATGATCGCGGAATAATCTCTTTGCATGCTTAGGATAAAGCAAGAATTGGAAATCTATTACCTGTGTTTACTCTTTCTTAAATCTTTCAATTTCTATCCTAGAAATTGGTCTATCCAAATACTTGTATAAAGTTCCTGATTCTACTGTTATTCCTTTTACATCAATGTTTTATGTTTCTGTACTCAATTTCAAAAATGTCTTAGCGCAATATGGAACAGTAATATGTGGGCATAAGACATTCCTGATTTCTGACCTCCTACCGTAGGCGGTGGGTTCTAGAAAGGCAGCTAGCTGCTTCAGATGTGCCCAAAGAGGAACAGCTAAACCGAATCAAAGATTTAGAGCGGAAGGAGACAGAATATATGAGATTGAAAAGGCACAAGATATCTGTTGATGACTTTGAGCTTCTGACCATCATTGGAAGGGGTGCTTTTGGTGAGGTTAGTGGCGTCCTTGATGAACAATAATGCATGACTACATGGACCTTGCGATGATATTTCTTTGTAATTTGTCGCTTAAAGTGCCTGACTGTTGACCAGATTATTTTTGGATCTTTTCAAAGATTTCTTTCATTCCCTTCAAATTCGAGTACTAAGCTCATTTGGCTTTATCTTAATGAATTTCATGTTTTCCAATAATCCTCTGTGTGTGTGTGTGTGTGTTTTTTTAATATTAATCTTCTAAAATTTCAGGTCCGACTCTGTCGTGAGAAAAAGTCTGGCAATATATATGCTATGAAGAAGTTGAAGAAATCCGAAATGGTCATGAGAGGACAGGTGAAAGAGAAATATAACTGCTCATGTTACTCAAATACATAAAATCTGTATGCAGTAGGCGCTTGTGCTTTCTGTATGTCTTTCCTTACATATTCGCCATTTGCGCTTTATATATTTGTGGCACCACGTGTCTGCCTGTTTGTGATTCATTATGTTATGAGTTGTTTGCAAAACTATAGTGTGTATGATATGTTGGACCTCGAATGGAGATGCTTCTTTTCTTACTTGCAAAACCAAAGTAAGTCTTTCCATGGAAGGCCGTCCTAGGACAAATTTAAGAATCCCTTATTGTTCCTTAGTCTCTTGTCTTAATTTTTTCTTTTATATGTTTATAAGGAAAGCATAATTGTATGCTTGAACTTACATTTTTGTTGTCATTCAGCAGATCACTGCAAACCTAATATAAAGGCTGCTGATGCTTTGGCCACTCGCTTCCTTCCCCACCCCCGTCCCTCTTTGTAGATAACTCAATTGGTTATATGTTGTTGGATTCCCAAACTTTAGGTTTAACAAGAAGCCAAATCAATTAATCTGGTACTTGAAGTGGATGGAGGTTGCTCATTCTAATATTCTAATCTGCAAACTATGAGTTTTAGATTCAGCCCTAGTTTTTACTTGCAAGATTTTGATATTTCCAGGATATGCGTACAGGCTTACTCTAGTTATATTATATGATCTCTGTCTCTCTCTTTCTCTGAACAGCTTCGTCTTCTGTAGGTGGAACATGTTAGAGCAGAAAGAAACCTACTTGCAGAAGTGGCCAGTCACTATATAGTGAAGTTATACTACTCCTTTCAAGATGCTGAATACCTTTATCTTATAATGGAGTATCTTCCTGGCGGGGACATGATGACTTTGTTAATGAGAGCGGATACATTGTCTGAAAATGTGGCTAAGTTTTATATTGCTCAGAGTGTCTTGGCCATAGAGTCTATTCACAAGCATAATTACATTCATAGGTGTGTTTGTGAAACACTCCTGCTGTTTTTCATATGAGAAGTCAAATGATCTGGAGAACTGTTTAGCTGTGTAAATTGCTTGTGATTGTGCTGACTTCACTTCATTTTATATTCAGAGATATCAAACCTGACAATCTCCTCCTTGACAAAGATGGTCACATGAAGCTTTCAGACTTTGGTCTTTGTAAGCCTCTTGATTGTAGAACTTTATCCACTCTAAATGAAAATGAAGCCATGGATGATGAGAATATGAGAGACCCAATGGACATTGACAGCTGCTTCCCAGATGCAAGCAATGTTAGTAATTGGAAAAGCCCCCAGGAACAGCTTCAGCATTGGCAGATGAATAGGAGGACGCTGGTATGACAGTCTGTTATAAATAAGTGGTTTTTTTTGCTTGTGTTTGTCTATCTGGGATTTTCTCAGTTAACTAGTTATTATTGTTGTTCAAAAATTGGAGAAATGTGATTAAGGAAATTAACACAAGAAGCCTAACCAGATGGTAAATTGTATCCAGGACTACTAATGGATGATACCTGATATGGCACGTGGTAATACTTCAATTACAATGATAGTAAGAACAACTTGTGGATATTTAATTCAAATTAAGGCCAAAACCATAAGGCAACAAAGTGAATGTCAATTAGAATTTCAATATACTGATAATCAAGCGTCTGCTACTATTTGGGTTGGTCATTTGACATGTTATAAGAATGCTATCTGTATCTGGGACATCATTATGCTACAAAAAATTACTGAGCCTAGCATTATGGGTGATTACATGTGGTAGTTTATGCACGCACTTGGCGCAGAAAGTAAGTGAGCAAGGTTGGCTGTCAGGGTAATCTCTTTAGTAGGGGTGAAGAAATGTAAGTTTTTTTTTTTGTTGAAGAGTAAAAATATGTTAGACAATGTGGAAGGTGCTGAAATTTAAGGCTGCAAATTCTGGAGGAGAAAAAGACAAAAGCATAGGAGTTTTGGCTCAAAATGTAAGCAATAGGCATAGATTATCAGAACATAACATCTTTATCCACTGAAAGCTTTCATATGACATGCTTGTTGGAGACGAAGAAGGGCTTATGAACGAAGTCAACTTGGAACCTCAAATTTGGGCAAAAAGTTCTTGAACTGCTGACCTTTTTTTTGATGTGTTCATTCATTACCAATCAAACTAAAAATACACCAAAATAGAAGGCCACTATAGATGTAGAAGTGTCTAGCCTATAGTATGTATCTAAAGCATGATGACAACATAAAATTTAGCTTCTGACTGCAATTACAAGGCACTAAAGTAAAATATCAACCCTTACTAAGAGTTGCTCTGAATTGTCCAACTACAATTATCATGAAGATAGCCCTAAAAATACAATGCTGAAAAAAATTATCTGCTGGTAGAAGTAAAGTCCTATAAGGGCATAAAGAACCATAATAAGAAGCAACTATAAAGCCTATAAATTCAACATTATGCAGAGTTCTCAGAAACTGATATCGTGCATTCCCTAGACAGAAATGTGCTAAATGTGTGTCAAAACTACAAGTAGGTCTTCAAGATGAAAATCTTGTAGAGCAGACTATGAACAAGTAATTATATCTCTCTCTGATAAACCTGGACATTTGTCAGATCCTTTATGGGGCTTGTTCTCTTTAAGAAACTTCAGTACCATGTGAAAGTCTTCCATGCAATATATCACTGTATTTTGATCATCTGCAATTTTTACTTTGAGGATAACTTTTATCTTTATTCTTTTTGTTTTGAAAGGCATTTTCAACGGTGGGTACACCAGACTATATTGCTCCAGAAGTACTATTGAAGAAAGGATATGGCATGGAATGTGACTGGTTAGTGTTATTCTTCCTGAATCGTATGATTCATTAATCCTACTAAAGTTTGAGTTTATTATCTGAGCTTATCTGTGATAGTTTCCCATCATATTCATATATATCAACATATAGTTCAACTTCCTTTTTCTTTCCTTTTTGGTGATTTTTTTTTTCAACTGTTTGTCTATGTCCAGATGAACAATTACTAAACCCTGGAATGGCATCATAAGGTTTTTATTTTTTTTACTTTTCTTTGAGGCATCAGAGTCTTTTATCTCCTTCTTATGATTATTGAAATGTATGGCAAGGAAACCTGATTACGCTGCCAAAAATTGCTGTCATGGCTATAAATCTTGCATGGAAAGTAGCATCTGTTTTATTGGTATTTCTACCATGTGTATTCATGCTAAGGGAATTTAAACCATCATAAACAAGAGCAGGATATGCAGAAAAATAATGAAATTTACCTTTAATCATGGAGTGGTAGACTATGCTGCTAAAATTTTTCATGGAAGATTGGTAAATGAGGGCCTGTTTGACTTGCAGGATACTTAGAAACCTGATGTGGAAATCTGGTTTAATCACTTTGTATTTCTTGTCTGGTTACAACAGATATGAAATGAACTACTTTTATTGTTAGAATATGCAAGTGTCCTATGTTTAATAATCTCATGTTTTGTAATTGGTTTTACAAATTATAAAATCGTTAGCGTCCAAACAAGATGGGCCTTAAAGTGCTTAAAAGAAGAGATGGGGTAAGATCTTCATGTATTTGAAGAAAGTTGTGCTAAATGAAGATGCTAGAAAAATTTTGGAGACTTTTAGGAACTTCGTAGCTTGTGCACAAGATGCATATTGGGTATTTGCTAATTGTATGGACAAATTACTCTTTAGATAGGACTGATAGTAAGATCTACAAAATGAATTTGCATTAGCAATAGCTTGTTTTAAAAATTAAATAACTGTTTCGTTCGACAATATGCTAAAGAGCATTTACCTGTATTTGTTGCTTCTTCTCACCCTCATGTAGCTGTTTTCTTAAGTTGATGTTCTGACATCTTTCTACTCCTCTAATGCTGACAAAAATTAGATTATGATGACAGTGTTTTTGTTCAATCATCAAAAAGTTTATGGACTTTGTTATTAACTAGTTAATATGAGTGTTTAATATTGTGTGATTTTCTCATCTCCCTTGCACTTGGCCTGATAAAAACAGAAGAGCTTAACAGAAAGAACCGATTTGAACTGATAAAATGCTTCATCTGTTTCAAATCTTAAAACTTTTTTTCATTCTCTCTTTACTTGCCATTCATTGACCTATTTCAAATGGGAGTTTAGAACTTGCCTGTTGTACAGCATATTCAGCATGATCCAATACCCCAATTCTTGATTGGGATGTCAAAACTTTATGACACTCATTTCTTGCATGACAACCCTTTTTAGATCTTCTAGCCAGTTGCTGTTACTCAATTCTTTAAGATAAGAAAAAAGTTGTCTTCTAATTGCTTGTCTCGTCATATCTAAACTTCCCACAGGTGGTCACTGGGTGCAATAATGTATGAAATGCTTATGGGTTACCCACCATTTTATTCAGATGATCCTCTAACTGCTTGCCGAAAGGTAACTTGAAGTACATCTTTCCTGTCTCCATACCCTCTGGCACTGGCAACACGCCCTGTATAATTGTATTTTGCAGCCTGTGGTCATATTTTAAGAATTTGTTGGTTCCGTTTGGTATTTCAATACTTTGATGCATCCATCGTAGAGTCCTATGATAAGCCATCCCCTAAATGATTTTTTAATAATTGAGTAAATGGCATGATTTATGACCTCTTGTAGTATAATGTAGTGAAAACTGTAGTTAGGTATGTCTCGGGTCTCTTCGTACCTCTTTGAGGATTGTACTCTTCAAGTTGAGTTGAGTAGAAAATTATCTTGGAACTATTCTTCAGTCGATTTCTATTCGAATTCCATAGACAGTAACATGTACAAATGTTTTCTTCAAATGCGCAAGCCTAGTGGAAGTTTTACGAATTTGACCCATTAGTAAAAACCTTATGTTTGTTGATCGTAAGTGGTCCTCATCAGTCCTGTGTGTAGATTCTGAAAAAGCTTTGTGCACTTCCACCCAAGTTTTTAATTCTCAATGATCCATACACATCTGCATAACTTTTCTGTATATGTGATATGAATGTCTGTACAATGTCCAAGTATTTAAACTTGGAAAGCTGAAACTCTGCCTCATATTCTTCGGGTGTTGTTGCTCACTGGTAGCTGTATATTTATGTATGTCCATAGGTGTCTCTTTTGGCTTGCATGTGCCTGGTACTATTGTGGTATTCTGACACCTGTTTGTTACGTATTGTCAGATTGTTCATTGGAGAAATCACCTAAAATTTCCAGAAGAAGCCAATTTGACACTCGAGGCAAAAGATCTCATCTGTAGGTTACTATGTGATGTTGAACATAGGCTCGGCACTGGTGGGGCTGATCAAATTAAGGTGCGTTGCAAGTCAATTCTGCCACTTCAATTTTGTCAAAATTTTCATCTTGTTCACATCATGAGAATTTTCCAGGCCCACCCCTGGTTTAAGGATATCGAATGGGATAAACTGTATGAAATGGAGGCAGCTTATAAGCCAGAAGTTAATGGGGAGCTGGATACCCAGAATTTTATGAAGTTTGATGAAGTATTATTCACAGCCCATCCTCTTTCATTTCTGTATTCTTTTAAATGATGTACAACATTGTGTTTCATACGTTTGTAGCTTCTTTACTTAAGATACTCTTAAGGTAAATGATATCATGATTTAGAGTTATTATCATGTTCCTCTATTTGAAGATTCGACATCTTTGCTATGTGAAGATTCAATGTCATGGTTCACGTTGGTGTGGAAAATCTGCAGTAAAGTTCCATACACCCTGTTTCTATTGGTTTCCTCGTCATGGAACTTCTTTTTATTTATCTTCTTGATTTTGAAATGATTTTAGGTAAAGCAAGATCTCAGGATTTGAATTTACTCTAGACTGCTACTTACATGCTGGACTTGGTACTTTAGCATGTAGATTGTTGTTGCTATGAAATGTTTCTAGGGTTCTTGTTTTCATGTATGATGATATATGGCTTGGTGAGGGCTTGTGTTCATGGGATTTTACATTTTACTGTTGGAACAGGTTGGTGCTCCAACACCTGCAAGAACTGGTTCAGGACCATCGCGGAAGGTATTAATACATCAAAGATTCATGCTTCATTTATGAAGTAACTTTTTTGATGGAACCTTTCTATTCTGCAAAAGAAGTTTGTTTTACATGTTCGATTCTTTCATCCGTGCGCACGAGACAAGATTCCATTTCTGTTTCAAGAAAATATTGGTGGGAGGAAAAGTCTGCTTATGCTGATTCTTTATGCTGTTAAAGTGATGTGTAGCTTGCTTCTATCTCATATTGTGTTTTAAGATTTGCATTTTAGACTGTTACAAAAGTATGCAACATTATGATCCGAATTGTAGATAATTACTTTCCAAAGTTTAAGGAGTTGAAAGAATTTAGTTACAGTAAAGCTTGCAATCTACAAACCCATGAAATTTGGTTGATCTAGATATCTCGGATTCTGTCCAATTAAATCGTGCTGTTTTGTACATCTTCATACTAAAACAAGTCAATCTTGCTTAGGTGCTGTTCAGTATTTAGATAATATTCAACATGCATGCTTTTTTGGAGGTTGCTAATAGCTCATGTTTATATTGCTTTTATTAAACAGAAACTGATTAACCTTTTCCTCCTTGTAACTTCATGAAGATGCTACTAACTCCAAAAGATTTAAGTTTTGTGGGCTATACATACAAGAACTTTGATGCTGTCAAGACACTTCGTAATTCCTCAGGTGAGTAACTTAAGCTATTCTTAACAACGATCACTATGAAGCCCCTTTAAGAAAGGGAGAAAGCATGTTTCGTCCTTTAGGATATGAAAACCTGTCTATTTAGCTTCTTTTATCTTAATCTACCAGTTTGTGTTTAATAGTGACTAAGCTTGCTATGATGATTTTGGTTATCTGGAAGCTAAATTTATTTTGTTTAAGGTTCTAAAGTCAAGGCAGCCGATTTTGCTTCCTATTATAATTTTAGTAGCCTTTGAAATGATACGGTTCCATTTACTGATTTCCTAAAGGAAATTTTCATTTATCTGGATTTCATGTGTCAAAATTACCAATTTAACCATTAGAATATGTAAAGAAAAGATCTTTATGATGTTTATTTGGCCTTGCCAAGTTCTTATTTCTTCCACTCTAATTGAACAATGTCCCTACCTATGAAATTTTTTTGTCAACTTTCTTTTCTACTTCTTTCTTGGATTTTTCAAGTTTCATTTGGGATTGTCTGCCAGAAAATGATTAGCTCAGATTCAGAATGTGGATTAGTTGGAAGGGACTGGTAATGCCATCTAAGCTTCATAGGGCAACATCTGCTAGGCTTAAAATGTTAAATGATTTTAAGAAATGATGTTCTTGTTTATATGAATTCACACGTGTGTGTCTTAGTGCAGATAAAACCGAGGTAAATCACAATGACCTGCCTATCACTGAACTATATATGCCTTTTAAAGTTACTTGTTCACTATTTTTCGTCTTATATTTTGATTACACCAGCTTTCCTTTTTAGAGTATTTTTAAGGATATATGACATGGCCGTGCATCTTTTTCCTAACATCATCACTTTGATATGCTTATGTTGTATCATGTGAAACCTTAGGACAGGTCACTGAAAGAGGGTCATCCGTGTAGCTATGACAACCAAGTATTTGTATAACGACATAAAAACGTAAAATTAAGCAAATATTTATCTTCTGCATAAGGAATTCATTTTACTTTTGAAATAGAACATGATGTCAAGACTCATGTTAGGAGATAGATAAGAAATGAAAATGTGTTTACGAGTTACTTGAGTGGATAATTCTTTCCCAAAAACAGTTATTTTCTGCATTTTCATTCCTGTCAGTGTCGCTGGTTCTTTACTGATACTGAGAATTGTTGGTCCCATGTTTTCTGCTCGTATTTGATAAACATGATGCCGTCCATACTGTGTAATCTCATGTTATTTTTTCCAGATTTCATGAGAAGCACGTCCCCAAGAAGGCCATCAATTGACTCGTTATTTGGTAAGAAGCTTTCGATATCTATCTTTAATTTATTCATTATTGGATTCTTTTCTTTTTCTTACTGAGGAATGCGCGTATCTCTGGGTTATATTCTGATAAGATGGCACATTTGCAGGTGAATCCAAGGACGATGATGTGGGGAAAGGAACAGCCAAAGAAACAGATCTACAGATGATTACATCAATGGATGATACCATGTCACCTTAATAGCAACAAAATGTTTTAGCAGATGGGAAAGGTTGCCACAGGGATGGTGGCATATGCTCGTTTTATTTGACCAGGTCGCTGACCCTTAACCGGGCTTTCCTTCGAAGCAGCTGTGGCTCTCTCTATGCAAGTGTGAATTTTAAGTGTACAGTAATCCTTCTGAAACTTTAGTAGGGCACTTGGGTGCTTATACATTTATGGGACGAGAGGACTGCTGCTAGGTAGACCTATTTTCCTATAGATTTAGCGTAGGCTTCCGAGGTTCTTGTGTCCTGGCTGCCCAGGTTGGCAATCGAACTTTGCTTTCTCTTGTGGCAGCTCGATCTGATTTTGAATGGAGTGGAAATCATATAGAAACCTATTTGACTACCTCAGTTGCCAAATGGAAGGCAACTAGAGTACTTCCATAATGGTAGACTCTGATAAGCAATTGGAACGGGTCAATTCGATATAATTGGTGGTAATTTGATGTGATTGGCTTTATTTAAAGTCATTCTTGTCAAGTGAATTCCAACAAAATTTAACTTCTCTTCTTTTTATCTTTTCCCTTACAATATCCTTCCTTCTGCTGCTAAAGCTCATCTGCCATTTTTTTTAATCTTTCTTCCCTGCAGGCCATGTTCAACCTCCTTGGAGATTTAAACATGCAAGTAAATCAAATTATGCGCCAAAAGATGTCTTTTAAGTAAACTGCTGAATACACAGCATAAAGACAAATCTAAGTAGGTGGGGCGGGGAACTGAATGCATCATGTAGGGAGGTATTTTGGATTCCCAACGTCATATGATAATATACCAATACTCAAACCAATCCCAAACAAGAGAAAAAATATCTGCTAAGCGCACTTAATACATTATCAACATATTCTGTACTCTGAACTCCATATAAACTCCAAGCCAACCCAAAACATATCTACCAAACGAACAAAACACATTGTTACATATATGGTGTCAGGTCCGAATTCCCTGAAGCCGTCAAGCCTTGACCAAAGAAGCTCAGACCAGAACATAATCATCTGCTGGATTTTCTAGCTTTTCATCTGCATCTTTCTTTTCCAAAGCAGCAGATGCCACTTTTCCCTCATGTTTCTCCCCTTGATCTTTGCTTGAAACACTCAACTTTTCAAGAAGGTCAGCAGTTGTCGTGGCTTCTTCACTTTCTCCAGCTTTATTATCTACAGACTCAGCAACCTCGGTGATCTTCTCTTTGAAAGCTTTGCAATCTGAAAGGGAAAACATCTATGAAAAACACATCCTGATAACTAGCAGGATAGATAATTAATGCCTTACATCAGATATCTAATCATGTTCTTTCCCTCAAAGTTCTCGCAATATATAAAAATTCCTGTTGATGCAGTTCTTTTAGAATATATGTTCTACCGTGCACATGTGAGTCTGAGAGAAAGATGAATGACTAATTGGAGCATTTATATAAAGATATTTCAAACAGCTACATATAACAACCCTTAATCTTCAGTTGTGCTCTCTTCTCTGCACCTGATCATAATTTGGGACAAGCATATCAATCTTACAAAGTGGTGAGTACTCCGCCTTGCATCCCTCACTATAAAGACCCCCAAGAATTCCTCCCTTGAGGATGCATGATCATGGGTTACATATCCTAGTTGTGCAAAGGATGAACTAGTTAAACCCGGTTGTAAGCTCTTACGAGAACATCATTTGCAGTAAATCTTACTAGAGGAAGGGGGAATAAAGTTCTTGCATAATATGCTGCAAATTTTGGCAAATTGAAATCTTGGAGATCCATTAGACAGAAAAAGAAGACATTTAACACAGCAACATAGCTGTAGAACTGCTGACGGCAAAAAATGAATGCCTTGAGCTGGTTACACTGTCACTTTGGTATTTTTGATTGATTATCCCTTGTACAAGCTTTACTTCAAAAGGTGTCTTCTTTATAATAAAAGGAATTCCAAACAACAAGCTTGTGCTTGTTCTCTCTGCCTCCAATTTTTTTATTTGTTCTCTCTTCTATATAGTCACACCATTACTCAGATTGAAACTTAAGATTAGGACATATCATCAAGATGCTGGCCTGGGAGAACAACCAAGATAACTTTTTTCACTCACTTCCAAGAGGAAAGGAGTGCCCATTCCTGCTTCTTCCGATTTGCTTTAAAGAATAATAGTGAACAGGTACAATCAATTTGATTTTTCGGAGAACAAAGTATAGGCATCAGTAAAGTAAAAGCACAACAGATTCAATTTCATCAAACAACGGAAGTCAAGCATGAATTGGAAGTAAATTTGAAATATCTTGCTAAATTCAGAATCCCATTTATCAACTGTTAAAAACCACCAGAAAACTTACCACCGACAGATGCAAACCGAATAGCAAAAGTCTCCTCTTTTAACTCCCCATCAGCAAAATCAGCCGCATGCCACACACATGACTTGTCATTTCCATGATGCTCTTGAAGAGAGATTGAAGGGAGCACTGCCATCCATTTCAATATGACCAGAATTCAACCACATTCAATCAAAAACTTCCAAGTGCACAAACAAATTCGAGCACAAGCAAGCACAAAGTCAAGGATATAAGCTGAATATAAACACAGAAAGCATACCAAGATGATTTGCGCATATCTTGAGAGTCTTGGACTGCCTCATGACAAGCCTAACTTTTCCAGTCTCCTTGTGCTTGAGAAGCTTCACAGTTCCCACACCTCTCTCTTTCCACTGGTTCCCTTCCCTATCAAATCTATACAACTTCGCCTTCCTACCCACACATGTAACCAAACTTTAGCCAAAAGAAAAAACCCACATGGTAAAGGTTAAAAACAAAACTTTTCAAATAGAAAACGATAAAAAATGAAGGAAAATCTATTGCCCTTGTGATTCTTGTGCACCCATACGCAATGTCATTTTATTTTTCTAATTCTTTAGCTTTTGTTTTTTATTAACAGGGAAGGGGGAAGCCCATTATGGCTAAATTGTGAGAAAGGTTATAAGTTATAACAGCAACGACAGTGAAGCCTAACATATGAATATGGTGGTGGGAAAAGGGGCAGCTTTATTACCACCTGGGGCATTTCCAAGATCAGATTTTACAATTCACAGTAAAACAAAAGTTTGGGGGGGAGGGGAGGGAGTGAAAAATGCAGACAAGTTATACTTACAGATCAAGGAGGACGTCCTCATTTTCCTCGCCGGTAGTAACGGCGACTTCTTGGAGTTTGATAATGGGGGCCACCTGGGCTCCGGTGTCCTCATCTTCTGTTCCGGGTGCACCGGCTGTCGCAGATTCCTCCCCTTCTACTTCCTTCTTCTGGGCTGCCACCGTCAGACTGGTCGGGTCTTCCGTTTTGCTCGCCATCAGTTAAAGGTTGCTCTGCGTATCTTTGTCGGAGAGATAAAAGGGGAAAGACGAGAAACAAAAATCTGAGTAGGGTTTTGGACAAGTAACTACTTTTTACTGAGAAGGGAAAAGCACATGATCAATAATTGGTCAAAGATTTAACGATTAAGATTCAATGTTTGAAATTTACCATATACCGACCTCCCATGAGGTTATTGATAATTTTGCTGACTTTTTTTTTTGAGATTTTTAAAATTACACTAAACTCTTCTAGGATTAAGGTTTTGATGACAAAATCAGTCCAAGTTAAAAAAATAGTGTTAAAAAATGCACTTAAAAAAAGAGATTAAACTTTTATTCAACAAATACCGTTTATGCTTATGTACAAGTTGTATTATAAAAGAATAAAAAAATATATTAGTAAAAGTGAGGGAATATGCGTGCAATGTGAATTTGAAACCCACATTTTGTATACGTGTCGTGCATTCAACTGTGATAGTGTATAAAATTATTATATATAAAATTTACTCAAAAAATTTTATAAATATATATATACTTTAAGTGTTAGATTTTTGAAAATATAAGTTTAATTAGAGAAAGTATATAAGTGAAATTTAGATATGTTAGGCACTAGATAGAAAACCCCCTTCAAATATTCAATGTTTGCAAACTCCACTTTACACCCTCAACTTGTATCACTATTTCACTTTGCATCCTAAATTTTAAATTTGAATACTTTGCACCTAAACTCTTAATTTTGAACATTTTAGATCCTAAACTTTCAAGTTTATCCTATTTAAGTCTAGTCAATGACAACTGTCACAAAATTAATGGTATAAAGAATCCGACAAATTAATAATAATATGCTGAAAATAATCAAAAGTGCCAAGATATCACAGCAAAAATAAAATAAGGTGCAAATTGGTGTTTTTAAAAAATTGAGGGGGTGCAAATAAGGTGCAAAAGTGAAAACATTAAAAATATCAAACCTATTTTATAATTTCATAAAACTTGAAGCGGGCAAATAGGTGTTTTTGAAAAATCGAGAGGATGCAAATTAAGTTCAAAAGTGAGAATGCTATAACATGTCAAAACTATTTTACAATTTCGCAAAATTTGAAGGGGCAAGCAATTGCCCACCTTTAAGTATACGCCACTGATCACAATTGAATTCTTAGAAATGCAAGTAAGGTTGTGCATGGTTTAGCTCAATATGTAAAATTAGCCAACTTTTTTTCAATGTCATAATGAAATTCCCTCCTAAACTTTGTCAAGCAAATTATTGGACGGTTTTCCAACAGTCTCGTTAATAGAACTTGTTAATTCAATCATAAGAAAGATAAATTAATCATCACCTATATACGATTATCTTACTACTTAGACAAACCACTTTACATCAATCAACAAGTGCAATTTTGGTGTATAAGTGAATCAAGTTATTTGTGAGCAGCTCAACGCTCAAACTTGAAAAAAAACTCCATTCGACTCGGTTTTATTGAGTTTGAGCACGAGCTTGACTAGCAAATCAAGTCAAGTCCTAGCTTTAAAATATTGTGCTTGTGTGCCTAATTGAGTATTTTTTATTATTTAACATTTAATTTTTTATTTTCAATATTGTTTAATTTTTACTTTTAGTTTTTTATATTTACAAAAAAAAAATAGTTTTTAAATTTTTATAGTGAAATCGCTACTTCCATTTGGACATGGCTAATTTGTTTTTGTCATTTGAATACTAGTTTAAGTGTTTCACCGTTTATAATTATACATAGATTATTGAAAAGTTGTGATCTCTTTAAAAAAAATAATCAAGCATGATTGACTAAGCTCAATTTCGAGCTCAAGCTCAAAGAAAAAAAGTACTTGATGAGCTTGAACTCGATCTAAAGTACCTCTTAGTCAAGTGGAATTCAAATAGGGTGGTACTCAAGTTCTGCTCGACTTGATGGCGTACCAAACATTATAAAACAAAAATCACGATTTACAATGACTCATTGTATGATTCATAACACTTCGAGTCCATCATCCGGGGAAAAATATTGCATATTCATAGACTTGATACATGATTAGTTGTGCGTAAAATAACTCTCACTCGTAATATACATAATATTCACTCTATCTCACTTTGAAAAAATAAGGCACCAATCCATATTTTTTTGATAAAGGACAAATGTGGGTTGGGTACTCGCAAAAGGCAGGTACGAATATAAGTTAGAAATTTGAAAATTTATAGGTGTTTATAGGTGTTTGGCCCATTCCACAAACACATATCTTTATTCCATTCAATTTTTTAGAAATAATTAAATGATTTTATTGAGCAAATTACCACCCAATTGTAGGAGTCTATAGTTCTTTTACAAAATTCATTGGTGGAGGTCTTGACCATTATAATTTGGAAAAGGACTTAGTTGATCGAGAATACACGAAAATAGTTGATCTAGAATGCATGAAAACAGGTAATGCTTATAACTCTTTGTTTCTTTATGTCAAAATTTTGTCTTATTGAATTAATTACAACTAATTCTAAAACTGTTTAATTGGCTAAAAAATACGATTAAGAATGTGGAAAATTGTGAAGTAATTGGACTAGCTTATTATTGTGTCTATTGTCTTGTACTTGAAGATACAAATTGTCAGTGGGTATTTTTTGTGTTTTTATTTTAATTGAAGATACAAATTGAGCAATAAGACTTTTTTCCCATAAAAATTGTGTTGATTCTTAAATGAACATGTGAAACACAAGAAAAATTTGATGTGCATAATTCTTTGATTTTTTTTCAAAATTAATTATAAAAAGGGCATGTAGGGAGTACCCTGTGACCTAATCCTCTTTAAATAGGTATCAAATAATCGGATACCTATTTATATACAGAGCGAGCGGGTGGGAGTCAGAAAATAGTTGACTCGTAATATGTTGGAAATGTTAGCCAAATACCTCGAGGACAAGTGACACTGTTCCATAATAAACTTTATTCAATTAATTCTCAGTCATCTCCTGCCAATTTAACAAGTCTTCCATGTCAAGTGACAACTAAAGGAAAGGAACAGTGATAGGTACTCATAAGGTGATACATGATAGTATTATACTGTATTTTATCTTTTCCAACCCTCAATTGTGCTCTATCAATTAAATTAGGTCTTACATTTCTGGTGCCTATTAGAGAAGGAAAAGTATTGAATACTCAGAGAGTGATAATAGTAGTGTCATGTAGAGAAGGTAAAGTATTGAAGGCTCATGGAGTGATATATGACAGTGTCATAGATAACCTCAGGGGATCCATAATAGATTACATTCTATTGAGTATAATCCACGTGCTACATCATCATCATATTATCCCTTATTTCATTACACTATCTCTCATTATATACCACATTCTACATAGTATAATAGTCTGGATTCACAATTAAATTACATATTCATTTTAATAATTCACAACACATAACTCATAAATAAATAAATATATTTTTGAGGCAATTGTTTCGTTATTTTTGGAAAATAATTTATTAACTTTCAAAAAAAAAAATTTACTTTCCAAACATGTTTTATTTTTTGAAAATAATTTATAAACAAATACCCAACACTTAAAATGTAAAAATATCGCAATCATCAAATGGGACCCACAACTAGTTTTTTTGTCCCTCTCTGCGTGTAACGGCCATGATACGTACCATGATTATTATATTCCAACCATGAAAAATGGTATAATTGTTGGGTACAATAAAGGGTGTTACACATTTGTTACATCCCATCGTGAATGGCTTTAGTGAGATCAATTGCCAATCGCCACTTACCGCTCATGTAAGGCTAAGCTTAGCCAGTAACAACTCGAAAATATATTATCGAGTAGTCAATAAATTTTGGTTAACAAGTGTTCAATGAGTATTCGTTGGAGATGCATCATTAAATATTAATTTTTTCACAAAATTGAAGTTAATCCAATGCTGGAGTGTGTAATAAATATGGATATGCACATTTAGATGTATTAATAAGTGCATTAGCGAGTTCCAACATGGAACTATTAGAAAACAGATTTCTTTTCTAGCAGGGAACTGGTAACTAGGAGTAGCTCTCCTGGAGAAGAAACTCGGCAAGATTTGAAAGGGAGGGAGAAGGATTGCTGCGGACCTTTGAGGGTAAGCTGGTTTTTGCTTTCTACAAAGAGTTTGGCGATGCAGATGTCTTGATGGCTGAGGCACTCGCCTTGGTTGCTGGCTTGCCGCTACAAAAACTTCAAGCAGACTCCTGTTCGTTGGTTTGCCTTGTCAATTCTGACAAGGTTGCTAAATGGCCTCTTTGACAAGCAGGTTCTTCTCCGGGATCTGAACTCTACATTGTCACCCGTTTTCCGTGAAACCAACTCCGCGGCTGATGCCTTGGCTACTGCGCAATTGGGTGCTGATTCTTTCTTCACCTCATCTGAGTGCCTCCCTCGGCGTGTCAAATCAACTATCAGCTTAGATGCTCTCTCAGTTCCTTTTGTTAGAGTTTCTCGTACTAGGGAGTAGAGGGCATCACATTCTTCTCTAACATTCTTTGTATATGGCTTTAACTTTCTGATCTAATAAAATGAGGGGCTGGCAATGGCATCCCCCCTCCCACCCTGGTGGGTTTTTGCCAAAAAAAAAAAAAAAAAACTAGGAGTAGCCATGGATCAGGTAGAAACTGGGAATCAGAATGTGCCTGATGGTTTGTTTTATTGTGATTGGGACCAAATTTTGGAAACCAGGACCGGAATCATAATCGTGACTAAAGGTTTAGTTTCAAGGTCATCAAAATTTTGAATCGAAATCGAAACTGACTGTTTAAGATTCGTTCAAATCGTCTGAAAAAGACATTTGCTACCGAAACCTATTTCGTCAATTTAGAGTTCAATATTAATCGTTAATACCTAATACCAGCAATTCCAATCATAATCCAACAACCCATTATCACATTCTATTTGTAAGTCTATACCCAAATCTAACTATAAAACCAATCTAATTTAATCATCAATGAGATATTTTTTCATAAAATTTGCATCATTTTTTCTTTTTCCTTGCATAGATAATACAATAAAGTTCTTATTTTCTTTTTGCATTCATTGTCATCTTTTATTAGAATCAATTTTGTAACATCAAGTGTTTAAATATAACTAAAATAACTAAATTGTAACATAATTGGAATAAAATCAAAATCGAAACCGAATCAAAATTGCATATTTAAGAACCGTAACCATAACCATTCGTATAAAAAAGTCAGATTATGTTTCACCTCTTAGAAAAATCAAAACCGTTAACTTTTAAACCAAAACCAACTATTTTAGAAATGTAATCAAATCTACCGTTAACATATATAAATTATATCTAACTCATGGATTAATTTTCTATACACTCACCGTAAGATCCATGATAACGAATTTAAATTTAAATTTTAAATCCAAATTTTATTTATATATCATGTATTTAATGATGGTAGTATATTATCAGTGTATATAAGATTATTATGTAAATGCATATAATTACAATTATAACTATTCCCATGCATTTAAATATTTTTCTAAATTGATAAACTTTTTCGAAAAAAAAAACATCTGAGGCTCCTCATAATCAAACTGTTAGAAAAATCCTTTGTTATGGGAAAAAAAAACTCATCTATTTTTATTTGTTGAATTGGGGAAATGGAGAAAGAAACAAACGGGGGGAAAGGGGGGACAAGCGGCGGTCTGGTGCGTCATTGGATTGGAGAAAAGAAAGAAAGTGAAGGAGGGAGCACGCAAAAGAATGGGTGGAGATGCTTTAAGACCATCTTCTAGATTTGACACCTGTCCGTCCTACCCTCCTTCTATTTCTTTTTCGTTTCTTTTCATTTCTGCCGTTGCTGCTGCTGACCCTCACCAGTGACGGGCACTATATCAATTATTTTCTCTGTCCAAAGAAAGAAAGAAAGAAAGAAAAATGTTAGTTGTTCCCAGTAGTATTCTACTATTAATAATGCACACTGGCTTGTAGTAACATTTTCTTCTTCGTTTTATTTTTAATCTTTTCTTCTCCACTAACTTTGTTGCTCTCCCAAGTTTCAAGGTTCCCTCACAACCCCAAAAAAACGAATCAAGATTTTGCTGCAGTTACTTTAAAAAAAAGGATTCTTGATTAAACAAAACTCAAAAGGGCAAGCCTTTCTTGATCACATTTGACTGTCCCAGTAGTTATTTACTAATTCTAAGTACTGGTGGATTACCGTAATAAGCTAAGCAAACTTAGTTTCAGAACCCCATTTACCGTTTATTGTTTTTCCTTTTTTGTTTGTTTGTTTGATTCTTTTGATGCTTTTTCCTGTCATATGTCTTTCAACAGACGTTACAAAAGATGATGTCTTGGGATGAGAGCGAAACTGAAAGTTAAGTTTCTGATTGTGGAGAAGACGGGAGGAAGAGAAGGAAAGGCTCTATTTACTACAATTTCTTGATAAAATAGGTAGTCACTCTTTCAACTTCTACCTTCTACCTTCTTCTAACTTGTTTATTTAATTCTTTTGTGTTTTTTTTCTAATTTTTTTTTACTTTTGGATTTTTTATTTGTTGCAAGTGTCATAATTGTTTGAAAAGGAGAGTGGCAAAAAAGAGTCAAAATTACAAGAAAAAGTTGATATGGGGGTTTCCTCAGATCCAGGGTACCTCAAGGTTTTTATGTTAAAAAGGATACAACCTTTCAGTGTTTCCTTGTGAATAGGGGGTCTTTTGTTTTTGCCTTTTCCTAGGTTCTTTCACATGAACCCTTTTCATCTCTCTCTTTCTTGCTTTCTTTCTTGTGTTTTAGGACAGAGGGTTGAATTTGAATTAATGTTTGTTTTTGTTTTTTCTATTAATAGAGTGACTGGCTGAAATTGGAGGATCCATCTAGCAGCGTATGGAGTGGACAAGTACAACGGAAATGTCTGGAGAACAAGTGAACAAGTGAGATAAGGCCCAGACAAAGTCTTCAAGTCTGACTTCTCTATATATGATTAAGCTTTCCAGAAATGGTAGTTTTTGTTCCTTTTTTGTACACCAGATCTGCTTGCCCATCCATTTTGCGTATTTCAGTTCATTAAGGCAGGGAGGCGTGAGCCGTGAATGTGGAAATTTATTAATTTAGTTATATTGCGTCAGGGATGGAAATTGGTCTGCTGAACCAGATTATTGGATCTACAATCTTATCATTGATGGTAGAGGGAGGTGATGAATTAGTTTAACAATGACAGGTTGTGTAATTCTTGAGGGCCTGGAGGGTGACTTTTTGTTGTATTTAAATAGGGATTTTGATGGAGGAGATGTGTGTGGAAGTTGCAGTGCCATTTAGAATAGGTAATTTTGTGGGTGAAAGACCAACTGAGGAAAGTTGTGTTGATGTCGTTGGAACAAGGTTGATGGATGATAGAATGAGCTCGTTTTCAGATTCTGAGGCTAAAAGTATGGCAGATTCAGTTTCTGGTGGGGATGAGGATTGCAATTTTGGTGATTCAGGGAGTGAAGTCAGTGTTGCCATGTCTTCTTTGCCTGAAGGGAATACAAGTAGGGAAGCTTCCTTACTTGATATGACTTCTGAAATTGAAAGCAACTGGCTTGCTAGTGATTCTGTTGTCCGTGAGAGTGAGGAGGATGATTCTTTGTCACTGGAAGGTGATTGTTCTCTGTCTGTGATTAGTGATTCTAGCAGCATATGTGCTGATGAAATTTTCCCATATGATGCAACATCTGAGATAGGGACTTCGAATTTTATTGAAGTTGAGAGGAGTATATGCAATGTTGAACTTGATGTTAAGGCTGGAGATACGAGGCAGTCAAATGTTGGTGAGATTGTGCATGATTCTCTAGCTATCACTGTTGGCCTTGAGGAAGAGATTGCTGAAGGGTCAACCTCAAAACCATCTACAGTTGTTGTCGAACTCCCTTCCAAAAGAGGGTTAAGTGTAACAGTTGGCCGCAGCATTTTTGAGATTGACTACGTGCCCCTCTGGGGAGTTAATTCAGTTTGTGGTAGGAGACCAGAAATGGAAGATGCCTTTACAACTGTGCCTGGGTTCCTGAAAATTCCGCTTCAAATGCTTGTTGGGGATCGTGTTCTTGATGGAATGACCAACTGTCTAAGTCATCTGACGACTCACTTCTTTGGAGTCTATGATGGCCATGGAGGCTCTCAGGTCCCCTCTCTCTCTGCCTCTTTCTCTGTGTCTTTGTCTATGTGTGCGTCTGTGCATGATTGCTGTAAATGCTGTCTCCAATATACATGCTACATATGTGCTAAAGAACTAGGATGTCATTGACAGGTAGCAAATTATTGCCATGATCATATGCATTCTGTTTTGGTTGAGGAGTTGGAAGCTATTATGGCCAGACCAAGTGATGGAAGTAATAAGGAAACCTGCCAAGAGCAGTGGAAAAGAGCATTTACCAATTGTTTTCTCAAGGTTGATGCTGAGGTTGGAGGGAAAAGTGGTCTTGAACCTGTTGCTCCAGAAACTGTTGGCTCTACTGCTGTTGTTGCCCTTGTTTGTTCGTCTCACATCATAGTTGCAAATTGCGGTGATTCCAGGGCAGTACTTTGCCGTGGGAAAGAACCTATGGCATTATCCATTGATCATAAAGTAAGAAAAATAAATTGGACTTTGGATCTTGATTATTTTGTCATTTCTGACCACCATGAGCTGATTTTGTTCTGGTTTTTTATTAGCCAAATCGAGGAGACGAATATGCAAGGATTGAAGCTGCTGGAGGCAAGGTTATACAGTGGAATGGGCATCGCGTGTTCGGCGTCCTTGCCATGTCTAGATCTATTGGTATGTGTCTAAATGTCTCTATGCGTGCTTCGGCGTCCTTGCCATGTCTAGATCTATTGGTATGTGTCTAAATGTCTCTATGTTTCACATGTCCTGTTTCATTTCATTTTACATTTATTGTAGTCAGCTACTTATTGTTGGAATTCATATGTGCTGTTTATTGTAGTACAGTGATGTCTATTTGCAGTTATTAACTGATATTGGGTGCTTTTAATGTATGCCCTATAAGCTAGATCAAAACGTGCATATTGCTATTGCAGGTGTCAGTTTATGTTTAGACTGGACAGCCATCAGGTATTGCTGGTTGGCGAAGTGGCCCAAGTGGCTATTTTCAAGTTCTGTAGAGTTCAATAAGTTATATGTGTATGCTATACAAATTAAGATAAGCTAAACCTAATGCTAAAGTCGGAGTTTGGAAAGCAATCAAGTTAAGCAGAAGGATCTCTAATGCATTATTCTTTTTGTGACCTTGATTTGCAAGCTCATCATTAAGATCGAGTCTCATGAAATCTCGTGTGTCAAAAGTCAAGCTTGGCTTGAAAGCTTAATGCAACTTCTTTATAGAGTTCATGTTTAAGTGTCTCTTTTATGAAATCCTGTCCAACTTTTAGTTAATAATGACAGGTAACCTGCATACATTTACTGCATTTTACCCAGTTATGGTAATACATAAACAAGAAGATACTAAATGCATATAAAAGTCATTCATTTATGGGATGAAAAACAAAAAAGAGCTTTTTTGGCGAGCTTTTTGGGCTTGGCTTACCCATAATACAGGAGTGACACTATGTGGACGTATTTCATATTAAAACCGAGAGTTACCAAATAGGGCCAAAGCTATTGGCTGGATGGAGTATTTTTGTGGCCCTAGTTAGGTTTGTTGAGTTAGTACATAATTAATGTTGAAGAAAGCTCTGAACATGAGTGACAGTTCTTTGGGGAGAAATCATGTTCATTTATTTTGTTTCCTTTTCTTGGTGTCCAAATTTTCACTGGAGTGATCAATATGAAAGTGCAGGACCTGTCCTTTTTGCTTTCCAATTCAAAGTATTTCCCTTCATTCCTTTTCCTTTAATTGACTGCATGATCTTAATTGTGATAAGGTGGAAGTCTATTTTCAACTATAGCTGGATTATAAGGAATGGAAATGAACACTACAAATTGAAGTCTTTGCACACTTGAGGAATTAATATGCCTTTTTCTTATCTTTTCTCATGCATTATTAGTAATATGGCACCAGATTCGTGATTCTTCCACTTCGTGGCTGTTTGATAAGCCAAGAAAAGTTACATTCAACTATAGTTGGATTATAAGCAATGGAAATGAACACTACAATTTGAAGGCTTTGCACACTTGAGGAATAAAGATGCCATTTTCTTTTTTTTTTTCCCCTCATGCATTATTAGTAATATGGCGCTGTAGTCGTGATTCATTCCCTTTTTTGCAGTTTGATAAACCAAGAAAAGTTACATCAAACCAACACTATCCATGACATGAGTCGTATAATTTACATGCACTGACAATGTTTCCTTCCTGTTATTCACATAAGTAAATTACCAACAACCATTCTTTTTGGCTAATACAGATTCTTGTGAAATGGTCATCGTGCCTCTCTCTTAATATGTGCATAAATTTGTATACTTGCATGCGTGCATCAATTATGCTTACCTACTCAAGCATGAATGCTGCTCTGTGCTGGATATTTCTGAACCACCCTTTACATCTTCCTATAGTTATTGGCATGCAATTGTTCTTCAAAACCTGAAATGAAGTGCTTGTTAGGTACAATTAGGATTTGATGATGATATCTATCTTTTACAATTTTTGCGTTCCTATTACCGTATGAGAGCACAATGATGTTGCTGCGGAGAACCTAAAATGCACGATTGAACGAACTTGACCAAAAATTCTATTTACATCTGCATATTGTTCTCGATTGGTATACACTTCTTCTTTAAGCTAGACTTTGGCAAAAGACATGCATTTTGGGTGAATGTACCTCACTTTAAAGGCCAATTTAATTCCCTGCAAACTTTTTTATTTTTTTTTTTACTTGTTTTGCAGGAGATAGGTATTTAAAACCCTGGATAATACCAGATCCAGAAGTGATGTTTATTCCTCGAACGAAGGATGATGAGTGCCTCATTTTGGCCAGTGATGGATTATGGGATGTTATGACAAATGAAGAGGTCTGTGACACGGCCCGTAAACGGATACTTGTCTGGCATAAAAAGAACGGCGTCACACTTCCCCTGGGGAGAGGTGAAGGCGTAGACCCAGCAGCTCAAGCGGCAGCTGAGTGCCTCTCAAACCGTGCTATTCAGAAGGGAAGCAAGGACAACATAACCGTAATTGTGGTGGACCTGAAAGCCCAGAGAAAATTTAAGAGCAAGTCCTAACTGTGTGTATTCTCAAGTTTGCTCTCTCAATTCCTAGGGGTAGGGAGAATTATAATACAGCATTACCACAGCCCTTCTGTTTTTCACCAGGGCCATGCAACTTCCATTAGCGCGGGCATTTGAGGTTCTATGCCCAGAATTTAGAAGTCCTATGATTCTCATGCCAGAGTTCAACCTATGTAAATTTAGCTCGAAATAGTAATAGGAACATCAAGGAAGTCGAATGCCATTGGCATCAATTATGTTGGTATAAGCCAATGTACTGGCTTATTTGCCTCCGAGTTAAAGAAAGTCTCTGTGAGGTAAGTCAAAACTTTTGTACGACTTTGGGGATGTTATGCCTTGCAAATGAATAGCAAATTTAAGTGATTTAGAGGGGTTTTCCATTAGTTGGGACAACGCTTTTATGATATGCTTGATTTTCATCACTGCTTTTATGGCTATTGCTTGCGAGGTATTGTGTCAATTATGACAAATAGTGACGCAGATGCCTAGTACTAATATATATATTCTAGGGCTTTCTAATGGCTGGACTGCAGGCTGAGTTGATGGGGGGGTCAACTTATTCAGAAATCTATTCCTATAAATTTCGTTGAATCTTTATTCTTCTTTTCTACCTTTTTCTTTTGATGGATTGATAACAAAGAAGGCGTAAGAATGGTTATAATGACCTGTTGGTGGAGCAAGTTTTCATTGTATGGCAAGGTACGCTTTTGCATTTTTGCGCAGAGATTTGGACATCTGGTTGTCCCAACTTTGCTTAATCTACCATTTGGGCTCTGTGCCAAATAAAATGGTAAACAGTGGAGATCCATTAGACAGAAAAAGAAGACATTTAACACAGCAACATAGCTGTAGAACTGCTGACGGCAAAAAATGAATGCCTTGAGCTGGTTACACTGTCACTTTGGTATTTTTGATTGATTATCCCTTGTACAAGCTTTACTTCAAAAGGTGTCTTCTTTATAATAAAAGGAATTCCAAACAACAAGCTTGTGCTTGTTCTCTCTGCCTCCAATTTTTTTATTTGTTCTCTCTTCTATATAGTCACACCATTACTCAGATTGAAACTTAAGATTAGGACATATCATCAAGATGCTGGCCTGGGAGAACAACCAAGATAACTTTTTTCACTCACTTCCAAGAGGAAAGGAGTGCCCATTCCTGCTTCTTCCGATTTGCTTTAAAGAATAATAGTGAACAGGTACAATCAATTTGATTTTTCGGAGAACAAAGTATAGGCATCAGTAAAGTAAAAGCACAACAGATTCAATTTCATCAAACAACGGAAGTCAAGCATGAATTGGAAGTAAATTTGAAATATCTTGCTAAATTCAGAATCCCATTTATCAACTGTTAAAAACCACCAGAAAACTTACCACCGACAGATGCAAACCGAATAGCAAAAGTCTCCTCTTTTAACTCCCCATCAGCAAAATCAGCCGCATGCCACACACATGACTTGTCATTTCCATGATGCTCTTGAAGAGAGATTGAAGGGAGCACTGCCATCCATTTCAATATGACCAGAATTCAACCACATTCAATCAAAAACTTCCAAGTGCACAAACAAATTCGAGCACAAGCAAGCACAAAGTCAAGGATATAAGCTGAATATAAACACAGAAAGCATACCAAGATGATTTGCGCATATCTTGAGAGTCTTGGACTGCCTCATGACAAGCCTAACTTTTCCAGTCTCCTTGTGCTTGAGAAGCTTCACAGTTCCCACACCTCTCTCTTTCCACTGGTTCCCTTCCCTATCAAATCTATACAACTTCGCCTTCCTACCCACACATGTAACCAAACTTTAGCCAAAAGAAAAAACCCACATGGTAAAGGTTAAAAACAAAACTTTTCAAATAGAAAACGATAAAAAAAATTGAAGAAAAATCTATTGCCCTTGTGATTCTTGTGCACCCATACGCAATGTCATTTTATTTTTCTAATTCTTTAGCTTTTGTTTTTTATTAACAGGGAAGGGGGAAGCCCATTATGGCTAAATTGTGAGAAAGGTTATAACAGCAACGATAGTGAAGCCTAACATATGAATATGGTGGTGGGAAAAGGGGCAGCTTTATTACCACCTGGGGCATTTCCAAGATCAGATTTTACAATTCACAGTAAAACAAAAGTTTAGGGGGAGGGGGGGGGGGAGGGAGTGAAAAATGCAGACAAGTTATACTTACAGATCAAGGAGGACGTCCTCATTTTCTTCGCCGGTAGCAACGGCGACTTCTTGGAGTTTGATAATGGGGGCCACCTGGGCTCCGGTGTCCTCATCTTCTGTTCCGGGTGCTCCGGCTGTCGCAGATTCCTCCTCTTCTACTTCCTTCTTCTGGGCTGCCACCGTCAGACTGGTCGGGTCTTCCGTTTTGCTCGCCATCAGTTAAAGGTTGCTCTGCGTATCTTTGTCGGAGAGAAATAAAAGGGGAAAGACGAGAAACAAAAATCTGAGTAGGGTTTTGGACAAGTAACTACTTTTTACTAAGAAGGGAAAAGCGCATGATCAATAATTGGTCAAAGAATTAACGATTAAGATTCAATGTTTGAAATTTACCATATACCGACCTCCCATGAGGTTTTTGATAATTTTGCTGACTTTTTTTGAGATTTTTAAAATTACACTAAACTCTTCTAGGATTAAGGTTTTGATAACAAAATCAATCCAAGTTAAAAAAATAGGTGTTAAAAAATGCACTTAACAAATGCCGTTTATACTTATGTACAAGTTTTATTATAAAAGAATAAAAATATATATTAGTAAAAGTGAGGGAATATGAGTGCAACGTGAATTTGAAACCTAAATTTTGTATATATGTCGTGCATTCAACCGTAATAGTGTATAAAATTATTATATATAAAATTTACTCAAAAAAATTTAAAAAAAAATATACTTTAAGTGTTAGATTTTTGAAAATATAATTTAATTAGAGAAAGTATATAAGTGAAATTTAGACATGTTAGGCACTAGTTAGAAAAACCCCTTTAAATATTCAATGTTTGCAAACTTCACTCTACACCCTCAAACTTGTATCACTATTTCACTTTGCATCCTAAATTTTAAATTTGAAAACTTTGCACCTAAACTCTTAATTTTGAACATTTTACATCCTAAACTTTCAAGTTTATCCTATTTAAGTCCAGTCAATGACAACTGTTACAAAATTAATGGTACAAAGAATCCAACAAATTAATAATAATATGCTGAAAATAATCAAAAGTGCCAAGATATCACAGCAAAAATAAAATAAGGTGCAAATTGGTGTTTTTAAAAAATTGAGGGGGTGCAAATAAGGTGCAAAAGTGAAAACATTAAAAATATCAAACCTATTTTATAATTTCATAAAACTTGAAGCGGGCAAATAGGTGTTTTTGAAAAATCGAGAGGATGCAAATTAAGTTCAAAAGTGAAAATGCTATAAAATTTCATAAAATTTGAGGGGGCAAGCAATTGCCCACCTTTAAGTATACGCCACTGATCACAATTGAATTCTTAGAAATGCAAGTAAGGTTGTGCATGGTTTAGCTTAATATGTAAAATTAGCCAACTTTTGTCAATGTCTATGAAATTCCCTCCTAAACTTTGTCAAGCAAATTATTGGACGGTTTTCCAACAGTCTCGTTTAATAGAACTTGTTAATTCAATCATAAGAAAGATAAATTAATCATCACTTATATACGATTATCTTACTACTTAGACAAACCACTTTACATCAATCAACAAGTGCAATTTAGGTGTATAAGTGAATCAAGTTATTTGTGAGCAGATCAATGCTCAAACTTGAAAAAAACTCGATTCGACTCGATTTTATTGAGTATGAGCACGAGCTTGACTAGCAAATCAAGTCAAGTTCTAGCTTTAAAATATTGTGCTCGCGTGCCTAATTGAGTATTTTTTATTATTTAACATTTAATTTTTTATTTTCAATATTGTTTAATTTTTACTTTTAGTTTTTTATATTTACAAAAAAATTAGTTTTTAAATTTTTATAGTGAAATCACTACTTCCATTTGGACATGGCTAATTTGTTTTTGTCATTTGAATACTAGTTTAAGTGTTTCACCGTTTATAATTGTACATAGATTTTTTAAAATTTGTGATCTCTTTAAAAAAAATAATCAAGCATGATCGATTAAGCTCAATTTCGAGCTCAAGCTCAAAGAAAAAAAGCACTTGATGAGCTTGAACTTGATCTAAAGTACCTCTTAGTCAAGTGAAATTGAAATTGGGTGATATTCAAGTTCAACTCGGCTCCATAACACATCTAGTGCAATTCTTCTTCAAACATTATGATAAAAAAATATCATTTCTACATAGATTCCAATTACTGACTGACCTAGTCCTACATGTTGAGATCATGTAGAGATCAAGCTTATGGTGTATTCATTGTTAACAAAAATTGAAATGATATAACTATACTGAAAATGATAGAATAAGCTAAAGCAAATCAAAGGTTTGTTTTGAATATATACATACTAAAGATAAAATAAAAGATATTGGTGGGATTAAACAATGAAAAAGAGAAAGGATAATGAAACAGGAAAAAAAGAAAATAAAAGAAAATGGAAGTGAAACTTGAAAGCAAAATCATATAATATTAGGGGCATGTTTTCCAAAATATTAATAGTGTACTAGTCAATCGTTAAAGGACCTAACTCGTTAGTTAATTGGTAATATTTTGAGTATTTAATAAACACATGGGAGTAAAAAATTATTAACCCATAATTACAGGAGGTAATATGCAATTAAAAATCTTTTTCCATAACCTAGCTAGTTTATTAACTAGTGAAATTTAATCACAGATATATTAGTTGGCAAGTCTTTGGCCTTCAGTCAATAAAATTACACCGAACAAGATTGTGAAGCCACTAATTATGCATGGCATACAATCCAAAATAAGGTTATAGGTCTTTATTTTTCACTTGGCAGTATCAAATTGATTAAGACCAAGTAGTGGAATTGCTATATAGCTGGTCCAGATTGATATAAAATTTACCTGCATCAATCGTATAATTACCAACTATTAAAATAGATTTTTTTTTTTTTGAAAATTTTCATCAATGACAATCAAATTAAAAATAACTATTGATCAAGAATACACGAAAATAGGTAATGCTTATAACTCTTTGTTTCTTTATGTCAATTTTTTTTTCTTATTGAATTAATTACAACTAATTCTAAAACTGTTTAATTGGCTAAAAAATACGATTAAGAATGTGGAAAATTGTGAAGTAATTGGACTGGCTTATTATTGTGTCTATGGTCTTGTACTTGAAGATACAAATTGTCAGTGGGTATTTTTAGTGTTTTTGTTTTAATTGAATTGCATTAGATATTAGATAATGAATTCCAATTTACTTTTATTACTTTTGAGCAATAAGACTTTTTCCGATAAAAATCGTGTTGATTCTTAAATGAACATGTGAAACACAAGAAAAGATTGATGCGCATAATTCTTTGATTTTTTTCAAAATTAATTATAAAAGGGGTATGTAGCGAGTACCCTGTGATCTAATCCTCTTTAAATAGGTATCAAATAATCGGATACCTATTTATATACAGAGCGGGTGAGAGCCGGAAAATAGTTGACTCGTAATATGTTGGAAAGGTTAGCCAAATACCTCGAGGACACGTGACACTGCTCCATAATAAACTTTATTCAATTAATTCTCAATCATCTCCTGCCAATTTAACAAGTCTTCCATGTCAAGTGACCATAGTGACAACTAAAGTAAAGGAACAGTGATAGGTACTCATAAGGTGATACATGATAGTATTATACTGTATTTTATCTTTTCCAATCCTCAATTGTGCTCTATCAATTAAATTAGGTCTTACATTTCTGGTGCCTATTAGAGAAGGAAAAGTATTGAATACTCACAGAGTGATAATAGTAGTGTCATGTAGAGAAGGTAAAGTATTGAATGGTCATGGAGTGATATATGACAGTGTCATATATAACCTCAGGGGATCCATAAGAGATTACATTATCTATTGAGTATAATCCACATGCTACATCATCATTTTATTATCCCTTATTTCATTACACTATCTCTCATTATATATCACATTCTACATAGTATATTAGTATGGATTCACAATTAAATTACATATTCATTTTAATAATTCACAACACATATATCATAAATAAATAAATAAATATATTTTTGAAACAATTGTTTCATTATTTTTGGAAACTAATTTATTAACTTGCAAAAAAAAATTTTACTTTCCAAACATGTTTTATTTTTTGAAAATAATCTATAAACAAATACCCAACACTTAAAATGTAAAAATATCGTAATCATCAAATGGGACCCACAACTAGTTTTTTGTCTTCTCTGCGTGTAATGGCCATGATACGTATCATGATTATTATATTCCAAGTATGAAAAATGGTATAATTGTTGGCTATCGTAAAGGGTGTTACACCTTTGTTACATCCCATCGTGAATGGCTGCCAATCGCCAATTACCGCTCATGTAAGGCTAAGCTTACCCAGTAACAACTCGAAAATATATTGAGTAGTCAATAAATTTGGTTAACAAGTGTTCAACGAGTATTCGTTGGAGATACATCATTAAATATTAGTAATTTTTTCACAAAATTGAAGCTAATTCGGGATACAATCCAATGCTGGAGTGGTAATAAATATGGATATGCACATTTAGATCTATTAAGTGCATTAGCGAGTTCCAACAGGGAACTATTAGAAAACAGATTTCTTTTCTAGCAGGGAACTGTTAACTAGGAGTAGCTCTCCTGGAGAAGAAACTCGGCAAGATTTGAAAGGGAGGAGCTCTCGTCCAGAAAGGTCATAGTTCACGTCGAGCAGTTTATTGTGCAGATGGGTGCCGCTAGGCTATTTAAGCCGGCTCACTTCAGAGGAGACCAAGATTGCTCTTGGGCTTCGTTGCCGGTTAGTGCCTCGACTAGCATTCGGTTATCATCAATCTCTTGGAGGAAGCCTCCACGTGATGCGGTCAAACTAAATACGGATGCAAGTGTAGTTGCCTCTTGTGCAACGGGAGAAGGATTGCTACGGACCTTTGAGGGTAAGTGGTTTTTGCTTTCTACAAAGAGTTTGGCGATGTAGATGTCTTGATGGCTGAGGCACTCGCCTTGGTTGCTGGCTTACAATGTTGCCGCTACAGAAACTTCAAGCAGATTTTGGTGGAAGCTGACTCCTGTTCGTTGGTTTGCCTTGTCAATTCTGACAAGGTTGCTAAATGGCCTGCTTGTCAGGTTGTGCGGCACGTTCGCGTTCTTCTCCAGGATCTGAACTCTACATTGTCACCCGTTTTCCGTGAAACCAACTCCGCGGCTGATGCCTTAGCTACTGCGTAATTGGGTGCAGATTCTTTCTTCACCTCATCTGAGTGAGTGCCTCCCTCGGCGTGTCAAATCAACTATCAGCTTAGATGCTCTCTGAGTTCCTTTTGTTAGAGTTTCTCGTACTAGGGAGTAGAGGGTATCACATTCTTTGTATAATATGCCTTTAACTTTCTGATCTAATACAATGAGGGGCTGGCAATGGCATCCCCCCTCCCACCCTGGTGGGTTTTTGCCAAAAAAAAAAAAAAAAAAAAACTAGGAGTAGCCATGGATCAGGTAGAAACTGGGAATCAGAATGCGCCTGATGGTTTGTTTTATTGTAATTGGGACCAAATTTTGGAAACCAGGACCGGAATCATAATCGTGACTAAGGGTTTAGTTTCAAGGTCATCAAAATTTTGAATCGAAATCGAAACTCACTGTTTAAGATCCGTTCAAATAGTCTGAAAAAGACATTTGCTGCCGAAACCTATTTCGTCAATTTAGAGTTCAATATTAATCGTTAATACCTAATACCAGCAATTCCAATCATAATCCAGCAACCCATTATCACATTCTATTTGTAAGTCTATACCCAAATCTAACTATAAGACCAATCTAATTTAATCATCAATGAGATATTTTTTCATAAAATTTGCATCATTTTTTCTTTTTCCTTGCATAGATAATACAATAAAGTTCTTATTTTCTTTTTGCATTCATTGTCATCTTTTATTAGAATCAACTTTGTAACAAACAAGTGTTTAAATATAACTAAAATAACTAAATTGTAACAGAAAGAAATTGGAACCGTAATTGGAATAAAATCGAAATCGAAACCGAATCGAAATTGGATATTTGAGAACCGTAACCATAACCATTCGAATAAAAAAGTCAGATTAGCTTTCACCTCTTAGAAAAATCGAAACCGTTAACTTTTAAACCAAAACCAACTATTTTAGAACTGTAATCAAATCTACCGTTAACACATTTAAATTATATCTAACTCATGGATTAATTTTTTATACACTCACCATAAGATCCATGATATTGAATTTAAATTTAAATTTGAAATCCAAATTTTACTTATATATCATGTATCTAATGATGGTAGTGGATATATTATCAGTGTATATAAGATTATTATGTAAATACATATAATTACAATTACAACTATTCCCATGCATTTAAATATTTTTCTAAATTGATACACTTTTTCGAAAAAAAAAAACATCTGAGGCTCCTCATAATCAAACTGTTAGAAAAATCCTTTGTCATGGGAAAAAAAAACTCACCTATTTTTATTTGTTGAATTGGGGAAAAGGAGAAAGAAACAAACGGGGGGAAAAGGGGACAAGCGGCGGTCTGGTGCGTCGTTGGATTGGATAAAAGAAAGAAAGTGAAGGAGGGAGCACGCAAAAGAATGGGTGGAGATGCTTTAAGACCATCTTCTAGATTTGACACCTGTCCCTCCTACCCTCCTTCTGTTTCTTTTTCGTTTCTTTTCATTTCTGCCGTTGCTGCTGCTGACCCTCACCAGTGACGGGCACTATATCAATTATTTTCTCTGTCCAAAGAAAGAAAGAAAAATGTTAGTTGTTCCCAGTAGTATTCTACTATTAATAATGCACACTGGCTTGTAGTAACATTTTCTTCTTCGTTTTATTTTTAATCTTTTCTTCTCCACTAACTTTGTTGCTCTCCCAAGTTTCAAGGTTCCCTCACAACCCCAAAAAAACAAATCAAGATTTTGCTGCAGTTACTTTAAGAAAAAGGATTCTTGATTAGACAAAACTCAAAAGGGCAAGCCTTTCTTGATCACATTTGACTGTCCCAGTAGTTATTTACTAATTCTAAGTACTGGTGGATTACCGTAATAAGCTAAGCAAACTTAATTTCAGAACCCCATTTACCGTTTATTGTTTTTCCTTTTTTGTTTGTTTGTTTGTTTGATTCTTTTGATGCTTTTTCCTGTCATATGTCTTTCAACAGACGTTACAAAAGATGATGTCTTGGGATGAGAGCGAAACTGAAAGTTAAGTTTCTGATTGTGGAGAAGACGAGAGGAAGAGAAGGAAAGGCTCTATTTACTACAGTTTCTTGATAAAATAGGTAGTCACTCTTTCAACTTCTACTTTCTACCTTCTTCTAACTTGTTTATTTAATTCTTTTGTGTTTTTTTGCTAATTTTTTTTGACTTTTGGGTTTTTTATTTGTTGCAAGTGTCATAATTGTTTGAAAAGGAGAGTGGCAAAAAAGAGTCAAAATTATAAGAAAAAGTTGATATGGGGGTTTCCTCAGATCCACGGTACCTCAAGGTTTTTATGTTAAAAAGGATACAACCTTTCAGTGTTTCCTTGTGAATAGAGGGGTCTTTTGTTTTTGCCTTTTCCTAGGTTCTTTCACATGAACCCTTTTCATCTCTCTCTTTCTTGCTTTCTTTCTTGTGTTTTAGGACAGAGGGTTGAATTTGAATTAATGTTTGTTTTTGTTTTTTCTATTAATAGAGTGACTGGCTGTAATTGGAGGATCCATCTAGCAGTGTATGGAGTGGACAAGTACAACGGAAATGTCTGGAGAACAAGTGAACAAGTGAGATAAGGCCCAGACAAAGTCTTCAAGTCTGACTTCTCTATATATGATTAAGCTTTCCAGAAATGGTAGTTTTTGTTCCTTTTTTGTACACCAGATCTGCTTGCCCATCCATTTTGCGTATTTCAGTTCATTAAGGCAGGGAGGCGTGAGCCGTGAATGTGGAAATTTATTATTTTAGTTATATTGCGTCAGGGATGGAAATTGGTCTGCTGAACCAGATTATTGGGTCTACAATCTTATCATTGATGGTAGAGGGAGGTGATGAATTAGTTTCACAATGACAGGTTGTGTAATTCTTGAGGGCCTGGAGGGTGACTTTTTGTTGTATTTAAATAGGGATTTTGATGGAGGAGATGTGTGTGGAAGTTGCAGTGCCATTTAGAATAGGTAATTTTGTCGGTGAAATACCAACTGAGGAAAGTTGTGTTGATGTCGTTGGGACAAGGTTGATGGATGATAGAACGAGCTCGTTTTCAGATTCTGAGGCTAAAAGTATGGCAGATTCAGTTTCTGGTGGGGATGAGGATTGCAATTTTGGTGATTCAGGGAGTGAAGTCAGTGTTGCCATGTCTTCTTTGCCTGAAGGGAATACAAGTAGGGAAGCTTCCTTACTTGATATGACTTCTGAAATTGAAAGCAACTGGCTTGCTAGTGATTCTGTTGTCCGTGAGAGTGAGGAGGATGATTCTTTGTCACTGGAAGGTGATTGTTCTCTGTCTGTGATTAGTGATTCTAGCAGCATATGTGCTGATGAAATTTTCCCATATGATGCAACATCTGAGATAGGGACTTCGAATTTTATTGAAGTTGAGAGGAGTATATGCAATGTTGAACTTGATGTTAAGGCTGGAGATACGACGCAGTCAAATGTTGGTGAGATTGTGCATGATTCTCTAGCTATCACTGTTGGCCTTGAGGAAGAGATTGCTGAAGGGTCAACCTCAAAATCATCTACAGTTGTTGTTGAACTCCCTTCCAAAAGAGGGTTAAGTGTAACAGTTGGCCGCAGCGTTTTTGAGATTGACTACGTGCCCCTCTGGGGAGTTAATTCAGTTTGTGGTAGGAGACCAGAAATGGAAGATGCCTTTACAACTGTGCCTAGGTTCCTGAAAATTCCGCTTCAAATGCTCGTTGGGGATCGTGTTCTTGATGGAATGACCAACTGTCTAAGTCATCTGACGACTCACTTCTTTGGAGTCTATGATGGCCATGGAGGCTCTCAGGTCCCCTCTCTCTCTGTCTCTTTCTCTGTGTCTTTGTCTATGTGTGCGTCTGTGCATGATTGCTGTAAATGCTGTCTCCAATATACATGCTACATATGTGCTAAAGAACTAGGATGTCATTGACAGGTAGCAAATTATTGCCATGATCATATGCATTCTGTTTTGGTTGAGGAGTTGGAAGCTATTATGGCCAGACCAAGTGATGGAAGTAATAAGGAAACCTGCCAAGAGCAGTGGAAAAGAGCATTTACCAATTGTTTTCTCAAGGTTGATGCTGAGGTTGGAGGGAAAAGTGGTCTTGAACCTGTTGCTTCAGAAACTGTTGGCTCTACTGCTGTTGTTGCCCTTGTTTGTTCGTCTCACATCATAGTTGCAAATTGCGGTGATTCCAGGGCAGTACTTTGCCGTGGGAAAGAACCTATGGCATTATCCATTGATCATAAAGTAAGAAAAATAAATTGGACTTTGGATCTTGATTATTTTGTCATTTCTGACCACCATGAGCTGATTTTCTTCTGGTTTTTTATTAGCCAAATCGAGAAGACGAATATGCAAGGATTGAAGCTGCTGGAGGCAAGGTTATACAGTGGAATGGGCATCGCGTGTTTGGTGTCCTTGCCATGTCTAGATCTATTGGTATGTGTCTAAATGTCTCTATGTTTCACACGTGTGTTCGGCGTCCTTGCCATGTCTAGATCTATTGGTATGTGTCTAAATGTCTCTATGTTTCATTTCATTGTACATTTATTGTAGTCAGCTACTTATTGTTGGAATTCATATGTGCTGTTTATTGTAGTACAGTGATGCCTATTGGCAGTTATTAACTGATATTGGGTGCTTTTAATGTATGCCCTATAAGCTAGATCAAAACGTGCATATTGCTATTGCAGGTGTCAGTTTATGTTTAGACTGGACAGCCATCAGGTATTGCTGGTTGGCGAAGTGGCCCAAGTGGCTATTTTCAAGTTCTGTAGAGCTCAATAAGTTATATGTGTATGCTATACAAATTAAGATAAGCAAAACCTAATGCTAAAGTTGGAGTTTGGAAAGCAATCAAGTTAAGCAGAAGGATCTCTAATGCATTATTCTTGTTGTGACCTTGATTTGCAAGCTCATCATTAAGATTGAGTCTCATGAAATCTCGTGTCAAAAGTCAAGCTTGGCTTGAAAGCTTAATGCAACTTCTTTATAGAGTTCATGTTTAAGTGTCTTTTATGAAATCCTGTCCAAACTTTAGTTAATAATGACAGGTAACCTGCATACATTTACTGCATTTTACCCAGTTATGGTAATACACATAAAGAAGAAGATACTATATGCATATAAAAGTCATTCATTTATGAGATGAAAAAAAAAAAGAACTTTTTTGGCGAGCTTTTTGAGCTTGGCTTACCCATAATACAGGAGTGACACTATGTTGACGTATTTCATATTAAAACCGATAGTTACCAAATAGAGCCAAAGCTATTGGCTGGCTGGAGTGTTTTTGTGGCCCTAGTTAGGTTTGTTGAGTTAGTACATAATTAATGTTGAAGAAAGCTCTGAACATGAGTGACAGTTCTTTGGAGAGAAATCATGTTCATTTATTTTGTTTCCTTTTCTTGGTGTCCAAATTTTCACTGGTGGTGATCAATATGAAAGTGCAGGACCTGTCCTTTTTGCTTTCCAATTCGAAGTATATCCCTTTGTTCCTTTTCCTTTAATTGACTGCATGATCTTAATTGTGATAAGGTGGAAGTCTATTTTCAACTATAGCTGGATTATAAGGAATGGAAATGAACACTACAAATTGAAGTCTTTGCACACTTGAGGAATAAATATGCCTTTTTCTTTTCTTTTCTCATGCATTATTAGTAATATGGCGCTAGATTCGTGATTCTTCCACTTTGTGGCTGTTTGATAAGCCAAGAAAAGTTACATTCAACTATAGCTGGATTATAAGCAATGGAAATGAACACTACAACTTGAAGGCTTTGCACGCTTGAGGAATAAAGATGCCATTTTCTTTTTTTTTTTTCCCCTCGTGCATTATTAGTAATATGGCGCTGTAGTCGTGATTCATTCCCTTTGTCGCAGTTTGATAAACCAAGAAAAGTTACATAAAACCAACACTATCCTTGACATGAGTCGTATAATTTACATGCACTGACAAAGTTTTCTTCCTGTTATTCACACAGGTAAATTACCAACAACCATTCTTTTTGGCTAATACAGATTTTTGTCATCATGCCTCTCTCTTAATATGTACATAAATTTGTATACTTGCATGCGTGCATCAATTATGCTTACCTACTCAAGCATGAATGCTGCTTTGTCCTGGATATTTCTGAACCACCCTTTACTTCTTCCAATAGTTATTGGCATGCAATTGTTCTTCAAAACCTAAAATGAAGTGCTTGTTAGGTACAATTAGGATTTGATGATGATATCTATCTTTTACAATTTTTGCGTTCCTATTACCGTATGAGAGCACGATGATGTTGCTGCGGATAACCTAAAATGCACGATTGAACGAACTTGACCAAAAATTCTATTTACATCTGCATATTGTTCTCGATTGGTATACACTTCTTCTTTAAGCTAGACTTTGGCAAAAGACATGCATTTTGGGTGAAGGTACCTCACTTTAAAGGCCAATTTAATTCCCTGCAAACTTTTTTTTTTATTTTTTTTACTTGTTTTGCAGGAGATAGGTATTTAAAACCCTGGATAATACCAGATCCAGAAGTGATGTTTATTCCTCGAACGAAGGATGATGAGTGCCTCATTTTGGCCAGTGATGGATTATGGGATGTTATGACAAATGAAGAGGTCTGTGACACGGCCCGTAAACGGATACTTGTCTGGCATAAAAAGAACGGTGTCACACTTCCCCTGGGGAGAGGTGAAGGCATAGACCCAGCAGCTCAAGCGGCAGCTGAGTGGCTCTCAAACCGTGCTATTCAGAAGGGAAGCAAGGACAACATAACCGTAATTGTGGTGGACCTGAAAGCCCAGAGAAAATTTAAGAGCAAGTCCTAACTGTGTGTATTCTCAAGTTTGCTCTCTCAATTCCTAGGGGTAGGGAGAATTATAATACAGCATTACCACAGCCCTTCTGTTTTTCACCAGGGCCATGCAACTTCCATTAGCGCGGGCATTTGAGGTTCTATGCCCAGAATTTGGAAGTCTTATGATTCTCATGCCAAAGTTCAACCTATGTAAATTTAGCTCGAAATAGTAATAGGAACATCAAGGAAGTCGAATGCCATCGGCATCAATTATGTTGGTATAAGCCAATGTACTGGCTTATTTGCCTCCGAGTTAAAGAAGTCTCTGTGAGGTAAGTCAAAACTTTTGTACGACTTTGGGGATGCCTATGCCTTGCAAATGAATAGCAAATTTAAGTGATTTAGAGGGGTTTTCCAGTAGGTTGGGACGATGCTTTTATGATGCTTGATTTTCATCACTAGATTGATGCTATTGCTTGCAGATGCCTAGTAATATATATATGTATTCTAGGGCTTTCTAATGGCTGGACTGCAGGCTGAGTTGATGGGGTCAACTTATTCAGAAATCTATTCCTATTCCTGCGAATCCAAATTTCGTTGAATCTTTATTCTTCTTTTCTACCTCTTTCTTTTGATGGATTAATAACAAAGAAGGCGTAAGAATGGTTATAATGACCTGTTGGTGGAGCAAGTTTTCATTTTATTTCAAGGTACGCAATTCATTTTGCGCAGAAATTTGGACATCTGGTCGTTTCGTTTCCCAAGTTTGCTTAATCTACCATTTGGGCTTTGTGCCAAATAAAATGGTAAACAGTAACCATCAGTAAATTCTTTTCGTTACCTAACAAAAGGTTGCAGCTTGTGATTTGTGAAGAGTAGGTATGTTGCTTGTGATGGTGGTATGTATGACACTTGAATTTACCACCAAAAGAAAAAAAAAGAGTAAAGGAATGCGGCTTAAATACCGAGCTTTTTCCGCAAATTTTGAGGAAAGGCTCCTGATTCTGTAGTTTGGTAAATGCAAGTTGTTCTCTCTACAAAATGTTAGGAAGACCAATTAAAACTGGTGGCTCAAAGTGTTTGAGTTGAGGCTTCAATTATTAATTAATTTGTGAGAAACTTGTGCTAATTGTAACACTTCGTTGGGTACTAATTAATAAAATCCAAAGAAAGATCCTAGGATGGCTGGAACTCCTAACATCCATACCATTACATAGTTTTCAATTTACATAAAATACGTCCGTTACATAAACTTGTTAACCATGAGTAACACGCATCCAAAAATAGCAGTATGTTAAACCAACTCATCATACATGATCATTGACAGATGACTTTCACCATTTGCCTGGTTATACAACGAAACTACTCCCTCCGTCCCACTTTGATAGTCATGTTTCTTTTTTCACACAGTTTAAGAAAAAGTAGTTAACTTTGTTGGAAAAGTAAATTTAGATTGCTATTTTCCTAAAATACCCTCACATTAAATATGATACAACTTTGTGGGAACTTGAATTGATGGTAAAAAAAGAATCAACTCTCATTAAATGGGGTAGGTTTATAGTAACAACTACTTACATTGAATAAGGGTATTTTAGGAAAATTAAAATACAACTACATTCTTCAATTGGAAAGTGGACTACAATTTGGGACAGATGAAAAAGGAATACAGGACTATCACATAAGAAGTATAGTATTTTCTATTCTTAAAAATTCAATGAGTGTATCAGTATACTTGTCTGATCTAGTAATTCACACCCTAGCCTCCATACAAGCCTCCTTAAACTTTCCCCTCCCCCTATAGAGTAAAAATAGGAGTAGATTAGTTAGGTACCATTGTCGACATAAAAAAAAGAAAAAAAAAAAAAAGAGACTTAAGTTACAAAAACAAACTAATGAATAACCCACTTCTTTAATATTAGGAATTTCCATGTTTTTGTCTATTGTTTAAGAGTGTCCTAATTTAAAATCACTTTTGTAAGTGGACTCAATAAATAGTAGATTAGAGGATATTTTAAGGACTAGATATGATATACTGACTCATTTCCACTCCTCCACATCAGCCACGATACCATGCCATGTGATCGGATACGCCAAGTCTAGCATTGCTGGTTGCACTTATGCTTCTGTTTTTCCGCCACCCGTGAAATTACCATAAGAGAAACCAGTAAATATAGTAATTGGTTTCATATTACTTCTCTAGGAGCTATCCAATTGGAATTCTAGCGGTAGAAGCAACAGCTAGAAAGGAAGATTGGCCATTTATTTATATTGTCACACTCATATTTCTGGTAGTACACTTGAAAAATGAACTTTACGATAAATTATTCACGAAAAAAAAAACCGGTAAAAGAACAATGTTGAGACGCTTCCCAGGCCAAGGGGAAAACCACACTATGATTTCCTATATGCCAGCCCCGTCACTACATCTTCAAGATTTTTCTCATTTTGAATGCTTTGGACCCACTTTGCATTGATATGAACTCTCTCTATGCTCTGCTTCAAGGTCCTGGCAATAAACGGCTTCATGCGGCTTGCGAAAAACTCCTCTACTTCTGCTGCCTTCTCATAGGAGGAAAACTACAGAGAGCAGAATACAAAGGCATTAGCAGGAAAACTAATTCAACTGCGTTACCAAGAGATAATGCAAGGAAATCAAAGTACACATGGAAGACTCACCGGCGACACAACTGCACTGATGAAACGAGTAACCAAAAATCCAGCACCGTAAGTTTTAACTATCTGGTCCCAATTATCCTACATTTGCATGGAAAGAATATAGAACCATTAACATGATAATTTACACCAAATTACGAGTCTGTTATAGTTGGATACCACTTACTTTCAGCCATTTCCAAGCAATTTCACGTCCCTCTCTACTAACACCAAGCCCGTGAACAACATCTTGACTTCGCACCTGCATCCAGTACACAGCTTAGAAAAAGAATTCTAAGACAATTTAGATACCAAGGAACTTTAAGGACAATAATATGAAACTGCCACTCTTACACAATAGCCAAACAAATCCATAATACCTCAGAAGACAATAAGAAGTTGAGAATTTCAAGAATGACTTCAGGATCCTGACATGATCCCAGTGAGCCTAAAAGAACAAGAATTAATGTAGTTTCAGAAAAATAATTAACTACCACATATTATCATCAGCATAAGTCGGTGAAAAAAAGTCACCTAGTATTCGTGTTTTCTCCTGGCTGAGGTCAGACTCTCTGTAAACTCTCAAAAGAGAATCGTAGCATGACCTGTTTGATTTATTAACTTTCTGCATTACGGCCACAAACACAGCCTGTAACAAAACAATTTTGGCCTATGACTTCCAGGACTCAAAATATAGCATAAACTTAATATCCAGATAAATGCTTAATTTTGTTACCCTTCGCAAATCTGGTGGAAGAACAGGTGTATCTCTATCATCCAGGAATATGCTGAAGCGCCTACTTGCTTCTTTTTGAGTCTCTTCATGTCCAAATAGAGCCAGTGCAGTCAAGAGTTCACCCCGCAACATGGCATCTAGATGGCTCTCCCCAGGCTTGGGATCCCAACCTAGTCTCCTGCAGCAAAAGAATAAAAAATAAATATAAAAATAAAACTTACAGTGTCATCATTCAGATTGCATCTTAAGTAGGCCAATTTATGATCTTGGTATGCTCCAGATGAAAACTTACAGAAGTCACCTTCTGGTCTCAAGGATGTATTCATTTATTGCAGCTACCGTATTGCATAAACCAACGATAGAAAATATCATACTTGTCTCGTTATGGATGCAAATAACTATAAATCTCTTGGCCAAATGGCACCGGATCACCAAAAACAGTACTATTGTCTAACATATTTTCTTGTAGCATTCGCTAATAAGCATGTCCACACATGTTGAAAGTCATGTACTACAGAACACAGCAATATGGTTGTAAACACTGTCGAAAATGCTGGCAGATGTGGAAGTAACAGCACTACATCTGTTAAGGAGCATACCCTGCAGAATACTGGAAAAGATTGATGAAAAAAAGTTTAATGTTATCCAGTAGCTGAGGAACAGCATCGGCAACAACTCTTGCAACCTTAGCACTTATCTGCAAGAATTTGAAACAGACAAGGGAAAAGGTAATCAGAGGTAGAAGCACGCTTGAAGCGAAAAACCACTTACACTAAGGTATAGGACGTACACTAATCAAGTTAGACAAAACAGTGTAATCAATCTCCTCCTTGTAAGCACCCATCAAGGCAAGCAGAGAGGCTAAGGACTGCTGACATGCCATCGACAAGGCATATGAGTCATCCAAAATTCCTGTTTAAATGAGTTATTGCTGTTGAGTAACCCTTTTCATTTTATGGAAATTTGGCAAACTGGAAAGTATTTTAAATCAAAGTACCATATCGATCCATGGTTGACAAGTACTTTTTCTCGATTGCATGTCTTAGTCTTGCTGATAGATCGTCATCATATTTTACACGGTAGAAACCCGCCTGGTCCAAATTGATTTTCACCCAAGAACTGCTTTTAGACACTGAGGCACCTAACAATTCTTTAATATCATGAGCTTCAGATTTTGCTTGCAGTAAAAAGCTTTTATGAGAATCATAGGATCCACAGCACAGAGTTACTGGAACAACCCATTGACCATCTCCAGGAGAACCGCTAAGTAAAAAGTGTGACTGCCATTAATTGGAACATATTAATACTGAACATCCAGAAATTTCAAAGCACCTAACATGCTGCACTATATGAAACATCGTGGTTAAGCAATGTATATCAAGCTCCAATTTGGCAGCAAAAGCAGTCATATAGTTAGGTCAGTCGGGAAAACCTGCTCCAATTCCAAAATCTGGTCTTTCAACTTGGCAGAGACAACTGGATATCCTTTCTGCTTAGTCCACGAATTCATTAGCTTGTTCACAGGCTCTCCAGATGACTCCTCGAGGACAGACCACAAATCTTCTGTTTTTGCATTTGAGCAAGCATATTTTTTAATGTATGAAGCCAGTGCCCTCTGAATAAAGTTAATAAAGGAAGGGGAAAAAATTGTCAATTTACAATTAAGTGGATAGTTGTTGTTGGACAAGTAAATCAAGATTAAGAACCAATGTGAAAAGAATCAGCTATGAACAACAAATGATGCCAGAGCCCCTTCCCTAGTCGGATAACGGAGATTTGACAAAGCGAATGTCAAACAGATGGAATCCTGTCGTAGCTTTGCTTCTGAGTAGAAATTTTCTTGAAGAATCAAAAGAATTGACCAGCACGGTCTCTTGTGTTTTTTTTTCTTTTTTGGCTTCATTTACAAGTGAAGGTCAGAGATTGCTTTATCTTGTGTTTTAGTGTCGGAGAAGAGCATCAAGATATTGACTGCTCTCACTTGTACAAGAGTTTCCTCATGACCAGCCCATAATGCAACTTAGTGTCACTG